AAACAGCCTTGTCTTGAATTCAACAGTTTAATAAACAACTCCCACCGATGTGCTAGAATATATATAAACATATATATACATATATATATATATATATATATATATACAGTATAGTGCTATTCGTAAAAATCGTTAAGAAATCCTAATTATTCTGCATAAATTTGCTCCACGATTTCATCATAAATACAACGGGAACTCTACTGGTATAGTTTGGCTGTTTTCTTTGGATTTATTTTCATTTAATTCATTGTTACATGAACAACTAAAAGGTTTTTGAATGTTTATTTTACTGTATTATTTCAGTCTTGTATTGAAATGAAGTGTATTATTTATTTAATGAGAGATTTTCCGTTTTATCTCCAAGTATCTAAAAGACTATGTTTTTAATATATATTGATAAAAAGACAGAGGATGCGAAAATTACATATATTTCATTTTTTTTCTATTAGATTACCCTTCACGTCAAAGGTAAATTTCACTTTTTGTACTTAAAAGTATAGTATTTAAGTGTATATTCTTTTACTTATATAACAACGTGTGTCGGGACTTTTTTCATATGTGATGTAATTATCGAACAAGCAATATGTAGGTATTATTAGTATTACTTGACTTGTTATATATTTGACGTGCTATATATAATAAAAAAATATGTATATATTTAGTTTATACTGTCAGTGATACCGTAAAGAAATAGTTAGAAAGAACTAAATATATATGTGTGCTCTATAGATATAAAGAATTTGACGAGTACGTAACTGTATATACTCTTTTATTGTTGCTGGATAATGCTTATAAAAATATATTTTGTCATTTCGAAAACAGAGTCAATTTACAAAAGATAACTTACACGATATAATAAAAAGATGGGGGATTCTTGGTTAGCTAATTCTACGAATTCTTCCAACTCTAATAATGATACTCAACATATGTCGTTTGCTGTAAAATGCACTGCAGATATTATTGGAAGTTTAGCAATTTTTGCTAATTTATCTTTTTTATTGGCTTTAAATTATTTAAAAGACAAAACATCAGCTTTTTATAGATTTTTAAGAAATCTAAGTTTTACTGATCTCATGTCGTCATTAACTTTTGTTATAATTCAAAATTGGAAAGGAGTAAAGTCTGAGTACTTTATTCTTAGGTATCTTTTGAATTATACTTTTAGATCTATTCCTTGGATGTTTCTCACTTGCTATTTCTTAACTCTATTTTGTCTAACTTTAAATCAATATATGGCTGTATGTAAACCGTTGAAATACAACCAAAACTTAGGAGGCAATTGTGTCGAAATTGGAATGATTATTGTTTGGCTCTTTTCATCTCTACAAATTGTAATACCGCTAATCTTCATCTCGATAATCTATTTTGAGAAATCCAAGGAAATAAACAAAGATACCTTATTTCATATAAACAAAATCGAAGTACAAATATGGTTGGGTATTTTTGCTGTTTTTGCTGTTTTAATAATAGCGCTAAATGCTAGCATATTCTCAAAGATCAAGCAGCTTAAAGCATCATTAAAGTGGAATATTTTTTTAATTTAAAAATATGTAAAAAAAAAGATGGAAACTCAATGGATATACTTTGTAGGACTTATTTAATAATTTTAACAGTTTTTAATATTTTAATTGTTAAATTCTTGATTTATCATTCTTATAATGATCTTTTCTTTATTATTATCCTCTCAGAGCTTTTTATGACTAGTAATACAATACTAATTAAAATTAATTTCTCATGAACTGAAATGAAGAGATCTGCCTCCCACACAATTAGAACAAAAGGAGTACACGTTTTATAAATCATGAAAAAGTGAGGAATTATAACCTTAACTAATTCATATTTAATATATTCGTTAAAATATTTAATATAAAACAATAGTTAATATAAAAATTAATTCAGAGTAATGGACTTTATGTAGTATATAAAATTCAAGTACTATCTTATATCTTAAATTAACTAATATTAATTAATATTAATTAATTTTTTGCATATTTGTAATTAATATTCATGGTATTCACTGCAGGTTGTTAATTACTTTACGTATAGCCTCGAGGTGTTTTTCATTGCATTAAATAGAAACGGCTGACAATAAAGCATATTAATTTTTATTAAAGTTCATCGCCAATTTTTAATGATCTATTTCTAAAATATCAACTTGAATATTAAACGTTTATTGCATTTTTTTAAAGCTAAAGTTCGTAAGCAAGAAAGAAAGACAGACATAGGCATAAATAAAATTAATTAAATTTTTGTCTATCTAAACTTTAAGTTAATTTTAGATATGCTTGAATGCTATTCAAAAAATAACTAGTAAGCTATTATATTATATACTAATATTAAAATCATTTAGTTGACAATAGAGGTTATACTGTATATCTTTTCAAAGAAACTAAAAGGAAACTAAAATAGACTAACTGGAAGAAATAATGTTTAACAAGAGATTCTTTTATCTTTTATATTTAATGATGCTTTATGTAAGAAGGTTTACGACTAGACCTGAAGAGAGCCATAACATAAGGACTAAAGAGGAAGCGTCAATAACAGTGGTTCTTCTATTATTAACTTCTCTACTTTGTCGACTACCCTTTCCAATTACAGCTATAGCTGGATTGAATTTTTATGAACGTCCTACACTTTATATGATTATGAATAGCACCACTACTCTGTTGTTGTACATAAATTTTACTATAGATCCTGTAATCTACGTGCTAAGAATGAGGGAAATAAGAATGGTTATCTGTAGTTTAGTTGCAAAATGTTTTAAGTGTCAATTTTCGGGCATTGAAAATGAGAACAAAATGACAAGAGGAAAGAAAAGAAGTGGATATTTTTCTGTTACACAAAGTATTTCAACATGGAAAAATAAAGGAACAAGGGATCCAGAGACTCTTTATCAGGAAAATAGAAACGATGATAATGGATTAAGAACCGAAAACACAGAAACTCACTTATGAGTATAAAAGACATATTTTCTCTGCGTTCACAATTCAATTCAATATTATTTTAAAGAATGTTTCAAGAGCACATTCATTCGGCGACATAGGATTTAGGTATTGTATAAATATATACATCAAAATTTATACACTACATATTTTATGTATTTTATTAATATTATAATGAGGTATTCTCTTGTTCTTCTAGTTTTTACTATTTAACTCTAAATATTCTAATAATTAATTATTCTATATACTCCATATAGACATACTATGTAAATATAACAAACACAAAAACATATCATCCAGTTGATACACCATTTTACGAATTGAAGGAATATTTTGTTTTCCAGTTAACTTATGTTACCTGTTTTTATTAACTTACAAAGCATGAATCTACTTAAAAAATCTTTAAATTTATATGAATTTTTTCGACGAACAAGTCTAAGGTTTTTTTAATAATTATGAATAAATAGTTTCTTTGTCTTTTTAAAAAAAAAGATTTTTGTTGTTTATATATTTGTTTTTTTTTTCCATGTTTCTGTTAAATTTTTCATTTATAAGAAACGGTTACAAATACTCATAAAAATATCAAACTGATATATTGCATATAAGTTAAGATTGCATAATCCATATTTATTAATAAAGATTACTTGTTATCTTGACAAGTGATTATTCGTTGACCGTGACTGTCATCTTAATTACGTAATAAATTGTTAAATATCCTAGTTTGTCAAGGAAATATTTTAATAAATCAAAAATTTTAATAATAACAGCTTATGATATTGATATACAACATTAATTTAGGTATAGAAATCATTAATATACATAAAAAGAACTAATCATTCTCTATAAGAAATGGAATGAAAAAAACCAATGATAAATGAAAATTTGGCTGCTTTTGACTATCTTTTTAAGATGCCCTTAGAAAATAGTTTCTTTGTTCTGCTTAAACGAATACTTAGGGCTTTTCTCCATTTCATAATTAGCATATTCAATTAGAGAATTACATTTTGTTTTTCCGAATATCGCAACTATAATTATAAATTAACTTAAGAACTTGGTCTATTTATAGTACATCATATTTATTCAATATTTATAGTGAATGTTTCTATTTTCACTTTAAAATAACAACAGTATGTAATACATTCTTCATTAGAGATCTAAACACAAGAGATTTTTAACTGATTTGGGTTTTAGTCATGATCGCACGTGACTTTCTTCTCTTTATTCATCTTATTAAAAATTTAATGTTCGAATCATCTCGTCTATACTTATACCTTATTATCTCGAACTGAAAGAGTTATATCTAAAATAGAACAACAAAAAGGCTTCTATTTTTCTCATTATATCCATTTTTCTACACTATATTAATAATCTTTTAATTTACATTGGATTCTATCTAGTTGTTTATATCGACTATAAGAATTGATATTTCAATGGAAGAATTAGAAAACTTTAGAGCTATTCTCTGTTTTCACAAAACTTTTAGCCATTTAAATTGGATGGAAGAAAATACATGAAGGAAATATTATTTATTAGGCTAATTAGCAAAGATATCTTTTTTTGCTTTGACAATTCCTAAGACGATACTAATTGTACGCTGGAGTATAACAAATTGACTTTTATTTACGTTTTTCTAATATACTGTAGATAACATATTTAACCAATAAGAGAAATTAATGAGAAATATTAAACCTTGGTCTCTTTTTAGAAGAAAAGTATAAATCTTCCATAAATTTTAATTAAGTGATGTCTAAATAATTTGCGCAAATTTAGAAGGTCAACTTATCTATTATTTTCCTTTGTTTCGCTATAATTAGTTTCTTTGATATTAAAACTTGTAGAAACTCTCTTATTATTTTATATTTAAAAACAATGATTTTTTAATTATAAATCAAATAAATACAATTTTCTCTATTAGCTTCTTCTTTTAGATATTACAATAACTTGAAAAATAATCACTCAATAGTATATTTCTTTGTTCTTTGCTATAGCAACTTCCAAGTTAACAAAGACCTCTATAAACAATTAGATTATTGTATGCTACTATTAACTGAATAGGTTATTTTATTGGTTTTTCAGCTATATGAAAGAGGCTTAGGCAATAAAAGGGCACTATATTCAATTTAAAACTACAAAAATCTTGTTTTTCTTTTGGTATTCATGGAAAAATTGAGAAGACGGCACTTTCCGGATAGTGAGGTGGAGAGTGGATTTCCAGAGGATGTTCAAGATTTTATTAACCAGGCCTATATCCATAATGAAACTTCGTATCCGCAAGAAAGTCATCCATACGTTCGAAAAAGTGATTACGAAAGGGAAAGTAGGAGTGACGATAACATATCTATTGATTATACGTACGAAACCTCGCCTTATACCAGCTGTATTCATTATACATCATACGATGATATTGACGATGATATTGTTGTTGACGAGCAATTTTCGGAAAGACATTCATTTTTAAGTGCACCAATTGATCATACAAGAGAATTATCACCCGAAATAAGAAACAAATACAGGCAATATGAAGAGTTAAAAATTGAACTACCACCTAAAGTTTTAGCTAGACATAAACCAAATACTAAAGAAGGATGGGAAATTCCTCAGAGGAGATTAGAACGACTACGAGCGGAAAAATATGAAACGAACTTTAGAAAAAGTTTAAGAAGGGCAATTTATGGAGCCATAACTACTAGATTAACTTTACGCACGTCTCAAATATTAAAGAACAAAGAAAATAGGAAGCAAGCACGAAACGGTATTAAAATTATTAACGCAATAACGGAAATACCACTAAATGATTTAATGCAAAAAAGCTACACAGTATTTACAATAGTAGTAATTCTTATTAATTTTTGTGTAACTATATATGATCTAGTCAAAGATCCGAACCCTTTAAGGTATAAAGCAGCGAATATTTTTTTCGCTTCATTGGACATCATAGTATTTGTTACTTTTCAAGTAATTTCAAGATTTTTCTCATCAAATAAAAACTGGCAAAAATATTCGCAATATGTCGAGAATATTTTAACTGAAATCCTCCTTTATATTTTGACAATATTTCTACTGTTTGGATTCATAACTGAGAAAATGTATGAATTCTCCAGTGAAGATAAATTTAACAATTTTCAAATTGTTCTTAACATATTAGACTTTCTTAATTTACTCATCACCTACTTTCTTAGAATGTTTATTATTTACAAATTTCTAACTGGACTTATGGACGCTTTTAAAGATGATAGATGGAAATTTGCTAACTATATACTATTAAGATTTTACTTAAATGTTATTTTTAATACATTACTCTTAATTTTTCTCTTTGCTTTCTTAGGAGGTCAAGTTGATCTTGACAATCCTTCAGAAGATGATTTGCAATACTATGGCTCATTAAAATCTGGTTTGATAATAACTACTGTAGTCTTTCTTCCTCTAGGCTCAATTATAGTATTCACTGCTGTTAATAGTTACTGGGTGTTAACTGTTTTAATTCACTTGAATCAGCAAACAGCAGAAGATGCGTCATTTAGAGAAAACTTGGATAAAAAACTCAAAGATTATGGGGATGTCGTTAATGATGCTTTAAAGTTTAGCATGGAAAATGCCACTAAAACTCGAGAGAAATCAGAGGAGTTTGCCAAAGTTGGTATATTTCATAAAATTTTCTATTCTTTCAATGATGTAAGAATTATGGGCCTAGTTCTAATATGGGAAGTATTTGCATTATTACCTGTTATCGTCTACGCAATTGACAAAAGCGATGAGAGAACAAAGATCTTTTTTTATATATACATATTTTTAATACTACTTGCTAATTATCATTTAATGATGGTTGCTTTGATAACTGATATTTTAATACTGGGTACAATATTATCGTTTATAATTTATCCCATTGGAACGCTTATTTGTTTTAAGTTAAGATTTCGTAGTTATGGAATGACTGTTGACTCAAACGATGAACAATCAACACTAATTCATGAATTGAGAAATAACGAAGATCTCGTTGCTATAAGAATGAGGAAAAGAATTGATTAATGTCATTTTATATCTATTTATACTGAATTGTAGTTATATAAAGTAAAACACATTGATATACTAATATATATACATATAAATTATAACATATGAATATTTTGATTGAAATCTGCCTGGAAGCTTTGTTTAGAGTAGACAAGAAAACCATTGAAATACAATATTGTTTACACAGATTTTATTGAGCTGTTCAATGTCTCACAATATAAAATACGTTATTTATAAACAATATTCTTTATTTTCGTAAAGAGTATATTTTAGATATCCTCTAAACCACTTTAATAATATGTTTGGTAATGATTACATAATCTATACGACATATTTATTCTTTTACCTGGATCTTTCCCATCAATAATATTACTTAAAAAAATAATTCTATATATATATACAGTATATACATATATATATATATACACATATATGATTTATGCAGCTATGTCTTTCTAACACGTAATAGAGAAGGTTGCAATTAATATCCTTTTTCCTTGTAAAGTCTATATCCTTTAGAAATTCTAAATGATCTCTATCTTGCAGTTAATATTAAATGAAAAATAATACTCTTCTAAATGTGAGTGTCTTTTAATATATTTTGAAAAATTATATACTTAGAAATAAAATTTGAGAATACTGCATAAATATAAATCAATTAGCGGAATGTGTCATTAGTTTAAATTCTCATTTCTTAGTGATAATATCTTAAAGTAAAACACAAACTGTGCTTTTACTGCCTGAAGGAGTTTTATTGTTGGCTTGGTTCCTTAGAGCTTCTGCCATATGATTGGCTGATTCTAAGACAGCTCTTGCTGCATTATCTACTTGACCACTTTGAGCCGCCGTTACTGCTTCAGCTGCCATTTTGGCGGCTTTTACCTAATTTGAAAAATTGAAGAAATGCTATATATATTTATCGAACTTATAATAAATTAAAAGTCTTCACTTTCTTTTTTTGATTATTCCTTATCAAAAAGAGCAAACCTCTTTGATTTTAGTTCTCACCTGGCTTGCTGTAATGACAGTTGCCCCGAAAGAATCCCCTTCGTGCACACTTTGAAGATAATCTGCCACTGCGTTAGCCATAGCACTGGCCACTAATGTGTTAGCAACTTGATCGTTTGAGATACTTGTAGAAGTTTCGCTTTTTTCTTCAACTTTGACCTCTTTCTTTGAATTTTCTTCAAGTAGACAATTAGTTTTACCAACGGCTAGTTCTTTAGCATACTTTTTAGCTGATGATGGTAATTCTTCTGTGTTAGAGTTGTCGTCCTGTAGTTTCCACTTGACATCTTTTGATACCTAGTCATATATTAATAAACGGTCATACATAGTTATTTCACTTAGAGACTTAGTAACACTTTAAAGAGTAACATACTTTTCCCTGACCAACTGTACCATTAACTAATTTTTCTTCACTCTCTTCTAACTCTTTTGTTGGCTTAGATGAAACCGACGTCTTAGGCGATAAAGTTATAGGTGTTTTTTCTCTAAATGCTTGCCAGGTTGGTAAAATAAATCCGCGTTTTGAGCAAACAGAGTTTACATAGTTCAACCAATCTGAATTTTCCCCTACAGGAAAGGGAAGAAGTATTACAGCTTCGATGTGAATATCATTTCTCCCGTCAGTTTCCACGCAAACGGAATCTCCTATCCATCTAGCAACAAGGCACTCGGCAACATCAATCGGATGGGAAGCTCCAATACCATGGGTTAATCTTGACCCAGCGGGAATGATTTTCCTTTTCACAGCTTCGCCAACGCACCATGAATGAATAAAGTGTTCTAGAGCCATGATAAATGGAGTAATTTGTATCCAAACATACTCCATGGCTGATGTAACACCGACCCCATCAGCGTTAACTCTGCAGGCGATTTCAAGAACTGAATTTTCCATTTCAAAACATATCCAAGCATCTTCTATATGTAACAATGTACCATCTTTCCAATGGTATATGTATGATGGCGTTATGACCTCTGAAATTAGAGAAACAGCAGCCGACTTTAAATGATGAATAAAGATATTTGCAACTTGATATCTTAAGGAAATTTGAACATCCTCTTTAAAAGGCTTGTTAGTCCAATTTAGATTCTGAATGAAAAAATATAAAACACAATATGTAACCTTTTTCCCCTATAAGGTAAATTAAATATTTTATACTACAATCCTAAAGGAACTTACCGGTTTTAAATCCGCTTCAGACTTTGATATAAATACGTTATATATGTCATAAGGATTTAAATTTGGATAATTAGGAAGAATTAGTGAATCTTTATCCGATATAGTTTTGGAAGACTTCATTATAATACCCATTTCCAGGAGAAGATTTATCATTTTTTGTATTTGACTCTCTTCTATTGTAAGATTTTGCCATAATATCGGAAATAAACTAGATCGTATTGTTCCCTTTGTTGCACTTTCTTCTAGAATTGTTGCAATTACTCTTGGTTCTGGCTTTGCAGAATTCTCAGGCCAAAATCTCTTTGCATGAATTTCAAATTGCTTACGATTGTCTTCCAAATGTAATTTACAAATGCAATTTGCAAACTCTACAATATCCAGGCAAACTTTTCTAATATCTCTTAACTGTTCAGTTAATCTCTCAAGGACATTGGGAAGTTTAGGACTAAACCATATTTTCCCCTGTTTGTTAATTAACAGATCATTAGTAATGTATATTAAAATGTGAAACTGCTTCAAATCCATTTACATTGTTTAACTATATTAAACATTTGTTAGATTTAAAGTCCCAGTTTATAAAACAAACAAAGAAAGGTTAAAGATACTATATTATCTCTTTTTAGATATATTTTACACGGTAGAGGTATAAAGACCTAATTATACATGCATTTTTAAAAATTCATAGAGAATAATCTTTGAAGAGTAATACATGAAAGAATAATCAAAAGAAATCGTAAAATACCCTACAGATGGAGCTGTGACAAAATTAGGTACGGAACTTTTATGTTTTCTCTTTCAACTCCTTTCTTCTTTTATTTTTACTTAATTAGTTAAGATATTTCAATAAGATAGAAAGAAAAAAATCAAAGGAGTAGCTACTCACAGAATTTTGTAAGGTTGTAGCAATGTCATCCAACTCTTTTTCATTAATTCCAAAACATTTTGCAGAATTGCTGTTAAAAATATAATTTTAATTTTTTTTTAAAAATTAATTAGCTTTGTTCAAAATTTATCTAACCAGAATTCCACCCAATCAATTATTAATTCATTATCATTATCTCTCCTCTGCAGCAACCTCTCTAAAAGTCCATAATGCTTTATATCAAAAACGCTGTCAGATTTATATGAATTCTTGCAAAAATCCGTCAAATAATCCCGCAGCTTATCTATATCTTCACAATTTTGAATCACAAAGACAGGTTTATGAATTCTCGGTCTATAGACCAATTTCGCCTGTAACTTGGATATCTCGTTACGAATCAAAGAGTTATCTTCACTGTCAACTTTCCTAAGGAAATTGTTAATTAAAAAAGTAATGTGTATACAGAGGAAAGAAGGAAGTAACAGCTTAAAGTTTACCTCAAATTTTCGATTTCTTTCTGTATCAAGTTGTCTCTTTTATCAAGAGTGTGCACTGTATAATGTAGTATGTCATTACAAACCATTTGTATATCGTTCGTGTTTTCAATGTTTGTCAATACTGTAATTATATCACACGAAGGTACCTAATCAATAAATCAATTATGGGTAGGCCTTTATAATCTGTTTAGTTAGGAATTCTAGACAATACCTTTGAAGCGATTCGACCGATTGTTCTACTTATAAAGTGTTCAGTAGCTCGATCAGGGGTCAATACTAAAATGTATATTCCTTTTATAAAAAAATAGGAGAGGTAATGGAAACAGCTTTCTCTCTCTGTAACATCCCAAACTTCTATTGTATGTTCATTCTTGGCTGGAAAAAATAGATAGGAAAATTGATGATAAGTTGCAGTACTAGTTAATACTATGATAAAAACAATCGTAACATTTAAATAAAAGCTAGTAGTTGCTTCATTTGAAGTAAAGAAATTTATGCGTTCTGGTTTAATGCTATTTTATGGTTAACTTCACTCAAAACACTCCTATTTACATCAAAGTTGAAAGAATCTTCAGTGACACAGAAAATATATTTATTACAAACGCTTTGACAATAATCCAAAGTTAGATAAAACTCATAGATAATTAAAAATATCTATATCTATTTATATATAGATCATTGTGATATAAATAGTATATGCACACATGTTGATAGTATTTATCAAAGTATATTAAGTAACTTGAATCCGAGGAAAATCTATCGAATTCTGGAATAGCTGTGTAAAGACATCTAACAAATACCATTTAGCTGACTTTTGTTGCTATATATCCTAAGTAAACTTGATTCGATTCAGTCTACACTTCAATGAATATAATCAGGTATTGTTGTAATTGTATAATCAGCATTTTATACCTACTGTTGGAACTTAAAGCTAATTTTAAAAGATGGAATGATATATCATCCTAAAGAAATAATTGTTTCTTTTTAATATAAAATACAAGACTATAGCATGAAATGCAATATATAAACTATTAGATTCTTTTTAATATTGAAACTAATTCATTTATACTGTTAATAAAGAATATTTAATAAGTTTTACAGATTTAAATGATGGAAAGCTAACCTGATTGTAATAGAGGCTGCCAACAATAGGAAACAAGACCGTCATTAAATTTCTTTCCATTATTGTTATTAGTAATTTTTAATAGTTTATGAATTAAATTAGTTTTCCCACTTTTTATGCAACCAATAAACGTCAATCTTGAGCAATTTAAAACTAATTTTTGGTAATATTCATTAAGTTTATATGGAAGTTGTTTCGGTAATGTTAAATAGTGTTGAGGTGGTTTTTTAATATTTTCGCATTGTCTAAAATCCAGATAGCTAAGTCTTTTAAAGGCTAAAAATGTCGGAGGTATCATTGTGATTTCTAAACAACCACAAAAATAGGCAGTCTTTAATCGTTTACAATGCAAAGCTATAGACCTTAGGCCAATATCACTAATTCTGCACTTAGAAACATTTATCATCTCCAAATAGGTACAACCCTTTGCTAAGGCGACTATTCCAACATCAGTAACATTTTGGCAATTTTTTATATCAAGATGGCTTAACCTGGAGCTACAATTTGATGCTATAGTAGACAATGCATGATCTCCAATTTCAGTTGCTTGAAGAACTATATACCTAGAAAAAGACGGCAAAATGTAACAAAGGCAAAAAAAAGCTTCTCTCATTGGAGAACAAAGCAGAAATCAAGTGAATTACCTTATGAATTTACAAAACTGCAATAGGGTTGTTACATTAGAATCCGTTATTGAACTGTTTTCACTTATATCTATTGATGTTAATGAGCCGCTGTAACATTCTGCTAAATATCTAATAGCATCATCATTAAATGTTCCTCCTCTTACCAAACCAAGATATCTTATTTCTGAACCCACATTTTTAACCAAAATATTTATAACATCTTCTCCAGGTTCTAGGTATTTCCATTTAATCCACAGGGATGTCAATTTTTTACAATCTCTACCTAAAACTTTTAAGCAATACGTTGTTACTGGACAGTCACTTAATTTTAATTCGGTAAGATTAACACAATGTATAGATATAATTTCTAGTAAGGTGTCAGTAAAATTACAATCTACAGCCGTAAAGCTCATAAGAGTTTCACCGTAAGATGACATGAGATTTGATAATTCTTCATTAGTTACATCTTTGGTAATAATTAATGATGAAATATGTGCATTTTCCGATATGATAGACTGTAAAAATGGAAAATGTATAAATATATGCATATATATATATATATATATAAATATAGTGTATACTAAAGATATAAAAGATATTGTTTATGGCAATAGCTCACAGATATTTAAGAAGAGAAACACCATATATTATTTCTAATGAATTATTTGTAAGTGTTAAAAAACATGACCTCCACCGTTTTATAAAAAATCATTTTCAATGGAAAAACGAATATTTTAATTCACCTACTAGATATTATACAACTATTCCATTATCCTAAAATCAGGTGAAAAATTCCACAATATCATATAGCTTTGTAATATTTTTTTAAAAGAAAAACAAGCGTTTGTTTTCCTTTTGTTTTCCTTTTATAAAATAAAGATTCTATCCTGAGTTATTCTACGTTTCTTATGCACTTAAACACAATATAATAATTAACGAGAAGAATAGTAGCTTCTTTTGTAGAAGAAAATGAAGGTTATTTTATTATCATACTTCAATTATAATGCTTTACAAAACTCTACGAAAAAAGATAAGATTTCTTGAAAAGATCTTATGTTTCCTATAATATTTACTTTTCCAGCTTATTGTACATATGTATTCTTCTATTAAAAGGGGTATTGTACATAAGATTATAATATAAAGATTTTTCTAAGGCATTAATTGTTCCCTAAGTTAAGTAATGTTTTCTTAATGTGTTGATTTCCAGGTGCTTTTGCTATGGAACCTAATATTTAATATCTTATTATCTAGTACACTAGATCAGGGAGACCATTCAATATCCTTGAAATGGTTTTTGTTTATCTTCTTACCAACTGCAAATCGGTTCATTTCACTTCAGACATTCGGTCTAAGAATGAGGTCATTTTTGACTTTGTCTTATGAAGCGAGGCTAAGGAAACTATAATATTAATCTAAACGTACACTCTTTTATATCGAACTTTGCACATACAAATATGTACAAGGACACATCTTTAAAAATATAAAATAATTAAAAAGTGATTAGTTACCTGCACATCAGTTTCTTTTGTAATTTTCACGGTTACAGACTCTGAAAATGGATAAGGAGTAGCATTGATAACACGTGGAAGAAGTTCATCCAATGACATTTTATTGTCTTTATTCTTAGTTAAGTAACCAAAAACTAACAAAAAATATAATTAACAGTAAATAGCTTTGTTTCGAATGAAAAATTTTCCCAAAAAAAGCACAGGTGCGTTTAGGAACGGATCTGAAAAAAAGATTATTTGCATTGGCACACACTCCTCGGCAGGTTACCATAGAAACAGTATGACGCGAGACTAGTGCCATACGTCCGTAATTAATGATTAGACGGATAGGTGTGCAATGTCCTCCTTAAAATCCTTTTCCTCTTTTCAATTCAAATGATTTTAAGAGAACAAAAATTACTAGGAATAAGTTTCCAATGAATAATAATCTGGATATTTTTCTAATTCTACTCTTTGACAAGTTTAAAATATGACGTCATGGAGTATATGCACTAAAGATACTTTTGTTATTGCTTTATTATTAGATACATTTTATTTATCAACTCTTCTAGGACTTTTCCTTATAAATATTTGTGACGTCATAGCTATTCTGAGGATTTAATTACTGCTAATTTACAATAATAGTAAATAGATAGAGTTTATCTGACTCTATTTTCTCATAGAGAACAATCATAACAATATTTTCTATACGGAAACGAAATTTATAGAAAGTTAAAGAAATATATTAAATTAGCAAGTTTTATATGAATTTAAACGAGGAATATATATTATAGCAAGAGTATACTTGAAAAGAAGCGGTGGTATTGATTAAAGAATTTTGGAGAAGAAACTTGACTTAGCTTAATAACTTGTATGATATTTGTACAGAGAGAAAGGTATTAATTTCTCTTAAATTTTGAAAGTGAATCTTACTTTTAACCTGAAAAAATTTCTTATTTACAAGCATAAATGTTTAAAAATCGTTCTTGATACCTTTTCCATCAAAAAAACATAGTAATTAACTAATTTAACCTTCCTTACATAATCTTTGTATTTCAAATTGAATGATATATGCAATTGAATATTATAAATAGTGTTAGTTAGACAAGAAAAACATTCTATAATTATTATAAGGGATTACAAGGAGCACTAAATTAGTCTAATAATGGAAAGTTTCCATGTTGGAAGGAAAAATCAGGTGAAAGCTACAACCTTGTTTAAATCTATTGAAAGTGACAAACTTGATAAGTAACCCTTAGCGGTTTTCGTTTTCTTGAGCAAGCATACGAAAGCCTATAAGATATTAGTACATATAAATTTATATATATACAGTATATATATATATATATATTTCATATTTCTCTTTATAATCGCATCATACTTTATCTACACTTATAGATTATCCCCTATATAGATTATTACTTTGTATTTCTCTTCCTGTATTAAATCTTAGAGCATAGAAAGAATGAAAGGGGAAGTTTTAGACAAAGAAGGGAAAAAGCATTATACGTCTCTTTTTATTTCCTCTAAAAAATTCCTTATTATAGAATACGCGAAAGGGTAATACTGGTATATTTACTGCAAAGTTTCAAGATTCATAATACATATTCTTCATTTCTTCTTCAATAGCACTTTCTACATCTTCAGCAGGATTAGTCATCCATACCGGAAGTTTATAAACACGCATTCCATCAGTTGAAGTCAGAGCAAACAATCCTCCATTCCCAACAGCGCATGCGTAGGCGGAAGGGATGCCTTTTAATACTTGCTTTATAAAAACGCCCTTATTATCGAACATAGAAATTCTTTCATTGCCGGAATCAACTACGTAAATATTTCCAAAAATATCAACACACACGCCCCTTGGTTCCTTGATTTGGCCATCTTTATCTCCGGAACAAGCATACTTTTGAACTACTTTCCCACTTTTTTCGTCTACGACTTTTATGCAATCGTTAAATGAATCAGCTATATAGAGTAAGCCAGTTTGAGAAGAACATATGTATAAAGGATGATCGAACTCTTCCAGTTTATCTCCTCGTTTACCGCAAGAGAAAATGATCTAAAAATAAGATGAAAAAGTATTCTTTAGAAACTCTTAGTAATTTTATGTCCGCTGAAAGAGAAAGATGCTATTTAAATAAAAAGAAATTAATTGTCAATTAAAACTAATGAGTTTTTTAGAAAGAAAGAAGGATATTCATAAAGGGCAAAATCATGCACTGAAAGTCCCCAATGTGACATTCATAATAAAAGAGGTTATGTAAGAATTTTCCTCCGAGCATAATGTAGCTGTACTTTATTTCACAGACCTCCGATAACAAATAATGCCATTGTCTTAGACTGATCAATGCTAATGCAACCAAGCGGATATTTTAATAACGCATCGTTGTTACATACAATCAGAATATCTTGCCTAGTAACGAAAAATATAGAGATGGTGAATACATAAAAAAAATTTATAGAGGAATTAATAAGTAAATAAATTAACTAATTAATTAATTAAAATCATTTATCCTCATTAGTTTGAGCTAATTCGCTGCTGTTGAAATCTTCTTCAATTAGTTTAAAGTCAAACATTAAGGAAATATTTTAACTCATCTAAACTCTTAATTACATTAATTTAACTTTAAGTTAATGAATTTCTTAAAACAAACCTGCCCGTTGATGTGGTGTACAGCCATATGATGGAGTTCTGAATCCGTTATTGCTAAACGATCATGAGATACTTGACAGATACCGTACGGTCTCATTAAAACATCCGAACCCCAAGAGGTTAAACAGCTTCCATTTTCAAGGGAAAATATCTTAATCATTTGCGAATCATCTGTGAGCGCAATATTATCTTCATTTTCGGAGCAACTTATGCAAATTGGTTTAAATTCTTCGTCGCCTATACTACTTGCTTCAATCCTGCTTTTCTTTTGTTCAAGTGCGGAGTTCATATCCATTAAAATAGTTTGATTTCTATCATGCTCAGCAACCTATTTAAGCGAACGTATTCGAATCGGGTATACTGTATGCCAGACACTAAAAAAAAGGAAATCTTACCGTTAAAATTCCATTATTTAACCAAGAGACATCAGATCTAAAAACATTATCTTGCACAGTCCATAATAGCTTACATTCATATTTTTCGTTGTTCGCCTTCTGTTCTTCTTCCTCAATCGATCTAGAATATCTCAGTTTGGCTGATAATCTCTTTTTTGATTTCACTTCACAAATATCTAAATTATCTACAAAATTGATATCAAGGTTGGATTTATTCGGTGAATTTAATATACGATTTATTAAATTCTCTTCATTTTTCTTAAGTTTATCTTGTAATTTTAAGGTATGTTTTTGTATTTTCTCTATTATGCTGGATTCCGCCATTTTATTTTTTCCTTTAAGCACTTCTATTAAAACTTCAGAGAATTTAAGAATCTCGTAATGTTTGTATACTTGTCCTAAAGTTCGTGTCAAAACTACGACATGAAGTATTTTCGTGCTCTAAGTCAATTAAAATGGAAAAGATAGATATTTAAATGTCTACTACCTAAATAAACATTCTTGTCGTTATTTATACTGTCGAATTATATGTAAAAGAAAAATACTCGTTTGACGCAGATAAGTATAGATAATTCAGATAAGGAATATTATATAATATGGGTAATTAGCTTGTAAAATATAACATAAAGTCAAGGTTTCTTTTTTAATACGTTAATATAAAAACCTGATCTCTAATAAGAATTTACTACCAAGAAAAAATAGATATTTTATCATTTTTAATGAATACTTTACAAAATAAAACATTAAAAATCAGCAGGTCATATTCAAATGAAATGTTTAATAAATTTAAAGGTTATTGATAGCTTAAATTTATATAACGTATAGAGGATTGATGTTCAAAATCAATTAAAGCCTTTGCAAAATCTGTTCTTTTTGGTAAAAAAAAATGAAAGGAGAAAAAGAGAACGTTTCCTCACCTGAAAGGAAATTATCTCTGTACTGATCATAACCCCTAATAAGTTCAGAATTTGAGCTTCGGTCTGCTGTAAATTATTTAATAAGATAATAATAAATTATGTTTATTCTGTATAAGTTTGTTAATAATTTAATTATCGTAAATCGGCAGTTATTGTTATTATTTATGTTAGTAATCTATAATTATCGTCCATTAGGGATACGTTATAGTTTATAATTAGATAGCTGATGTTTAAAGACGGATAATCGTAATATATTGAAGATATTTATATCATAGAGAATCCAATAGTAAATCGACCGCTGCCTTATGTACGAATCTAGAAACATAACTACTATCTCTATAATGAGAGGAGAGAAAAATAAATGCTGAAGGTGGAGCCACGACTCGAATGAAATTAATTGTTAATTTCTAGTATTTAACATATATAAAGTATTCAGATATCGATAAGATTTGATGGGTTTCGTAAAAAAGAAAACAAAGGACTAGAGAACTATTCAATATTGTTTTGAATAAAAAAATGTCTTTATTAAATCAGGAAACAAGAGAATAAATACAAGAATTGAATATAGTTTATATATATGTAATATTCATTTTTTTTACTTTTTGAATCATTCAACATTAAATTCAATAATTGAAAAGTTACGTAATAAAATTGAATTTATTATTTTTGATATAACTATTAATATTCTAAATTTGTATAACCCTATAGCGTGCTGTTAATAGAATGTTTTTTTTTGTTTTTCCAAGTAAAATGCACAATAGAAACACAATTTTTATCCATCTAACTTTCTCACAAGTTACTCATTCATTGTTTGCATAGGGTAAAGCACAATATACACCAGACTTAATTTGGATTTTTTTCTTTTAGCTCTTTTTTGTTTTGCATTGGAAATTTTAAATAGAGGTATTTAAGGAGTATAGTAGAGACAGAGACCTAATGAATTATAAATGTAAAAAAAAAAGAACAAAAAAAACAAACAAACAAACAAACAAAAGGAAAAACGATGAAAAGATTGAGTGAATATGAAAGATAATATCAATAAGCAAAGTAGGGAATGGGGTTAGAAAAGAAAAGAAAAAATACAAGGGTATTATTCGAAATGGTAAACAGATCATGGAATAAGGAGAGAAAATGCAAAAAATGTTTGCAGTGGCAGTGCGGAGTTTGTCTGAGATCAATTTCTTAAAAGCTTTGCAGTATTTCGCGTGTTTGGTGCTACGCCAAACTATTACATTACGCTGACACAAGATGGCACTACTCCGTGCTCAGCACCAACGACAATACATGACAATACAAGAAGTACATTGTAGACATTAAGCAAATGTACATTTTATATACACAATAGGAATACTAAACAGAAGCTAAGATAGATATATGACAATTTTGCTCTGATCTTTAGGCGTTATTCAAAGTTGTAAGCGATAATTTTACACGTAAGCTGGGTTTATATTGGATGCATGCAAAATTCAAAAGGCGTTGAGTAGGAAATTAAAAAAAAAATTAATTTCGAAAAAAAGCTGCCTCGTGACTTGAAAGAAAAATTGCTGTGGAAAGTAGGTCATATTACAGACTGCCTTTTAAGTAAATGGCACACATTGATTTCGATCAATTTTTCTCATGCAATTTACTTCTATAAGACTTCTTTTTTAAAAAATATATCCGTTCATATTGAAAAAGAAACTTATTATAAACAACTTTTTTAAAATTAATCACAAAATAAACGATTAAATTATATATTTTAATTTAGATGATTCTGCCCCTTGACTCACCCTGACAAGTTCTTGAATATTTTATAAAGAAACGCTGTTAATTAACAGCAGAACGAACTAAGCGATTATTTATCAACTTGGCGTTGGTTTGAATGATTGATGATCGATGGTGAGCGAGGAAAAAAATTTGTTTTTTTTTTCTTTTTTTTTTGATTAATTAATACTGACGTTCGGAAAGATTTTGTGACATTTAACTTTTATATGTACTGTGCATATTATATATACTGAATATATCATATATATTCTGCATATAGTGTATTTTCAATATATATATATATATTAGTATATATATATATATATATAGATATATATATATAGAGTTTTTAAATAGTATATATAAATGAGAAGATATATCCCAATTGCGAATATAATTTTCCATTCGTTTGCTAAGTTACTACTTTCCATCTAAATTCCGTTCAATGACTTCTTATCATCTTGCAAACTATGTTTATCTATTGAAAAGATGAAAAAAAGGGATGACTGAGATATGTCTTCTATTTGAGATCTCCACAAAATGAGTATTGATTATAATAAAAAATGAGCAATAGCATTGATATAATAAAGATCCTTAACACTGTTTGACTGACTATAAAGTTATAGTTATGCATTCAATTTCTCGTTAGGTGGCACCACTAAAAGTCAATGCAGTTATGACTATAAGCATCATTTAAATGGGCTCTTAATAATAGTTGATTCATTGAGAAACCGAATTAGTTCCCCAATGTTTCTTTTAGAAAATGACTTCGGGAGTATCATTAAAAACTCTCATAGCTCTTGGGTAGAAAAGGAAAGCCTTGCAAATGCATAGATAAATAATTTAGTTAGGATTTTGAATCCCAATGACTAAAGAGTAATATCTTTGATAAATGTCAAGGAATTCCTATCTGTCACTCATAGACTGGAAGGTTACCTTTTTTTAAATACCACTTTTTCCCATTTTCCTAATCCAATACTTTTCGGATTTCCCAAAAGTTTTTCTTTATTTATTAATTATCCTTTTGCCGAATTGTATCCTAATAGCATTGCTATAGTTCCTTAATGTTAATTCGTAAAGGTCTTGCAAGAGATTATGTACCAATATTTATTGGCCATTGAAGCATCTGCCTTACATCATGGAGAAAAATCAATATGTTTGTAATAATAATTTAAATATGGATTTTTTCTGCGGCATAGTCGGCGGAAATCCAAAAATTGCTTTCCAACTAAAATAAATGTAGATTTAAAATGCTACTTTAATCGACAAAAAACGTGGTCCTTTCTTTGAGTTTTATATATTCTCATTTACTATACGAACAATAGTAAATAATTAATCAATCAATTCATTAATCAAATAATTAATTCATTTAAAATCTTTCGACTAGTATATTAAAAAATAGTTGATTATGTACAAAATGTACATCATATTTTGTGAATATTTGTTACAAAAGTTAACTTTAATCAACATATTGTTAATGATAATAATTAGAAAGTTTTATAAAACATCAGAATTTTTTCCTAAAGAAAATAGAAAAATTAAAAACAAAAATAAAAGATGAGTGAAACTAAAAGGAAATAAGTGAGAAATATAAAATAACGCCCAGAGAAGGAAAGAGTATGAAATTTAATCATCTTTTTACCTGCCTTAAGAGTTAAAGTCGACTGATAAAAGGAATTCTTTCAACTTAAAAAGTTACTTAAAAAAATCATTTTAGTACCTTGTATCTACTTTACCAAAGCAACTGCATTGATTTTTGGGCAGCCATAATAGTTTTTTTTAATACTCTATTATAATATTTTTATCATCTATAAAAATTTTAAATTTACCATATTATTTCTCATCTAAATCAATAAATTACTTGATTGATTTTAATTAAAATAAAAAAAAACCTAATTTACTTTCAAATAGAAATACTTCGAAAAGAAAAAAAGTCAATTTGTGGAATAAAAATTTCCTCAATGGAATATGAAAGTAATAGCTTTCTTCAGGATTTATTACTGCATTATTCTTTAGCTTTTTATAGCTATTTCTTTTGCATAATATGAATTTACTGATAAATATATATATGCTGCATACACATAGATATACAAGTATAGACAGCATATAGACATACGTATTTATACGTTTACGATTTCACTTCTTAGTTCCTAAACTACTTCCACAATTAATTCTTTAAAATAATTAAAGAAATATTTAAAAAAAATGTGGAAATAAATATTTAAAATTCCTTTTGAAAATTATTAATTAATTATTAAGAGATCAGAGCAAAAACATCAAATTCTTACCATGTGTTTTTTTTTCGAAGAGAAAATGAAAAAGAAATATATACATATACTATATATATATATATATATATATATATATATATATATATAGAAATAAACTGAAGGTAAAAATTTTGGCCGCACCTTACTCGCCCTAAATGTGCATAATCTAATTATATATACATGAGATCGCAGTTTAGTCCCGAATGCAGCAAAATAACAAAAGCTCAATATTTTCTAACATTCTCACCAAGTCTGTTAATCTTCTATTTTTTCTTTCTATTTCTGTCAGTCTCTCTTTCTTCCTTTTTTTCTCTTTCTTCCTCTTTTTCTCTTTCTCCCTCTCTTTCTCTCTCTCACTCTTTCTGTCTTAACAGTCAGTCTTTGTTTTAGTTTCAATTTCTATCTTCTTCCTTCTTCATCTTTCTTGTGACGTTTTAATTCACTGCCATTTTTTCTGCCTAATCTTGTATTTTTCCTCTTTTTATCAACTGATATGGAGACGAAACGGCAGATGAAGTATTACCAGAAAGAGTTTAAGAAGAGATTGAGAGAGTTTATACTTTTCCCAAGAAACGTCTTCTTAATGAGCCGCCTTACTCCGTTTTCAAAATTTGCCTGGAGAAGACCTCATTATTAAATTCAGTTCAATAGATAATTTCCTTCTGATACAGATATTTTTTTGTAGTTATTAATTTTTCTCTATTCGCAAATATTTTCGTTAATTAGATAGCTGACTTATTGATAGAGAAAATCAGTTGTGACTCCATTTGATTGTGGTTTATATATTTTGCTGTACATTGTACAGATGCCTAAAAGCATCAGAAAAAAGTCTATAATCTAAATACCATATTTCACCGTTATATTTCAATTGTTTGCTACCAAATATCAGACTTGAGTGTTCTATTACATTTCCAAGCTTATTGAAATTATCCGTATTGCTGGCGGAAACAGGAGAGTAACGGAGAAGCATTTTCTTCTAAAGAAAATGAAGATGGATTTTTTGATGTCCAAAATGTACTTTAAGAACAAGAGATATGATGTGTGATCAGAAGAACAAAAATAATAACCAGTTTCAATAAGGAATAAAACACAAGTCTAACAATCGAACTTATTCCGTTCCTTAACAGAACAATAAAACTATGAATGTACACGAGATCGCAGTAAAAGTCTGGAATGCAGTAACAGAAAAATTTGAAACTCTTTGTTTTTTTTTGTTTTTTTTTGTATCACCGAGTCTGTATGCGACGTAACTCTTCGTGATGTTCATCACAAAGCCATCGAACTTCTTTTCCAATATGCAATGGTTTCAATTGACCGAATCCTCCAGAGCTTATATCTATTCTTAAAAACCTAGCGATTTCAAAGCGATTGCCGGCAGGATTTTGATGAAATATTGAATCAGCTGATACGGAATTTCCAACTTTAAAATAAAGATCTGGAAAACCGTCATTTGCATTCGCTAATACTTTTGTTAGCATTGTCACTACTCTGTCCTTGTTCTTTGTTAACCAAGCTAATGGATCTTGAATATGTAAATCAACTGAACCTAAGTATTCATACATTTTAATAAGATCAGCAATTACTGGGGCTAGTAATCGACCATTGTGACCATGCTCGTGCACACCATTAACGATTTGAACCATTGATAAAGCCATATTGAGTAGAACTGGCAATTGATTACCTACTCGCCTTACAAAATTCTGAGATTGACATAGACGAAAACCTGGCTCGTCTGTTAGATGCCAGTAACCTGTGTATTCGCATAGGAAATGCACTTCAAACCCTTCAAGGAACTTGATTCGGGAATGTAAGTACCATTCTTTGTTCGAAGCATTCATAGATGGAGGTAAGACAAGGACCAGCCGAGGATGTTCGTAATCAGGAAGAGCGCTTAATGAACTCGTAGTTGGAGCATGTGGAGGAGGTGTATAGTGACCAGTTAAAGCCCTCGTCCAACTACCGAGGTTATGCCACCTTGAACAAATTGATTTTCTTCGATCAGAAACCAAGCGGAGTGGAATTCTATCTGCCCTGGCTTGCCTATTCAGGACACATTTTGGACACAGGAGATAAATCTCTCGTTCCTCTATAAAACTTCTCGCATCTTGTGTTTCTCCAGTGCTTACACTAATACAACTAACAGAACAAGAAATACTACAGTCGTTAACGGAACCCTGATATATCCAATCATCGAAGGTATCCTCAACATCGTTCAAATGCAGTTGGAGAAAGCCAAGAACGGCTTTAACAACACAACAAGGTTTGGGACCTCTAGCTGTAACTTTCATTGTTTGAAGTCTTGGATCAACTTCCACATGTACCTTATGTAAAATATCGTCCTCTAGTGAGACATTTCCTGCACATTGACAATCGTCACAGCCACCAACATCGAGAGCTGTAAAGAAAACTATATGGTGGCTGAGGAAGACTGGAGGAGGATCGAGGACCAGATCTAATAATCTCCTGCCTTCCCTACAAATTTTTAAAACAAGATCCGATAACATGCAAGGTTTAATCGCTCGGATTTCCATTTCGTAAGTAACCTGTCTCTCATCCCAATCCGGTAGATCCGGCCATACGTCAGAGTTTGGTTGACCGAATTCTAAGAGTGACGGTATCAAGTAACGCTTTTCGCCATCAATGTCTCCTACTATAGCGCACATATCTAATTTTTCCAAAGCTCCTAAAAGCCAATGTGCGCTAGATACCCCTTCAATTCCTGCTTTATTCAATTGTCTATCTAATTCTCGATCTCTCAAGCATTCCAGCATTTCATCCAGCAGCAGAACCGAAGCATCAAGATCTGTTAGAACCCCATGCAGGACTCGTATAAACCACAATGGATTAATGACCACCAACTTTGATAATATGGAGTCAGCAGTGAAATGAACTAGTTTTCCGCGTTCGTGAAAGTATTGTAACATAGGCTTAATGTGATTACCACCTATTTCAAAACTTCTTGCGATATTTATAACTTCATCATAGGTTATACAAGGTAGTGTGGGAGCTTTTTCAATTATAAAACCAATGTGACGAATAAACGCCAACCAATTGGGTGGTATTGATCTCTCTGGACGTTGGGTTGCTCTTACAATAGCGGCTTTCAGTTGCTCAATAGACACGTTTGATTTTTTAGCATCTTTTGGAAAGTTCTTCTTCGAATCAATCTCGTAATAACCAACTACATGCGGAAATCTTACTCTTCCCAAAGCAGGGGGTGTCTGAATCACGTGACCATTTGGTAAACTTTCTTCAAGTAGTGTCAGATCGACGAATCCGGCTCCAGGACAATTCCTTCCGGTACCTATTTAAAAATAAATTATAATTTTCATTTTATGAAACAAATAATCAATAAAATCGATCGAAATAAGATCGAAAACTCATAAAATATATAATTCTAGTGTATAGACAATTGTTTCAACTAAGCAGAAAATTTTATAATACTATATTTATGAATTAATAATTAAAATTTTATTAGACACTGTAAAGAAATAACAATTTCTTGGGAGTAGAATTTACTAGAATTAGGCACTAACCTATTAGCAAAATGAGGTAGCTACGCTAATGAATTAATAATTATCTTTAACAATTAGCTAATTTTAACTTGGTAAAGAGATTTCTGGTTCTGACTGTCAAGATTAAAACTCTTTATCCTTATGCTCAGTTTAGCTAGTATGTATTAATAAGTATATATATATGTATAAGATAAACAATAATCGAAATATCACATAGAATAAATCGGCATCTAAGCTCTCATAATAATATCGTCGGATAAAAGTAATTTGTCAACTAAAAGTAAAATAGGCCTAGTTTTCTGATATCTAGTACGACACATTAATATTCATAAATTTTTCTTCGTATACACAATCCCTCTCCTTATCTAGAATATATTGAACTGGTAATCATTCTTGCATCTATTTAAGCAACGTTCTAATAATTTTTTATGGCATCCATTAAAAACCTTCACTACTATTTGGAAGTGATATATTATTAATAACATTTCACCTTGGTGATAAGGAATATAATTACAATATTCATATTATGTATTAAATATTATTTGTTGTGTGTGCATATAAACAAAGACAAATTGTGCACTACAGAATTTCTTGAGAAGCACTAGAACGAAAAAAATCTCAAGAACTGCAAAATACAGCCATTAAAAACAACAAATTGGCGGTTTGTTATTATTCCACAAAGTAATTACAGAGGATAAGAAACAATTTATTAAGTTGTTTGATTAACTTTTTTCCATGATAGGCTGTTTATGGCAGAAAGATGTGAGTGTTTTTGTATGTTTGTAATTATAGAAAATATCGAGGAGGATTTGCTGTTACCTTGTCGATAAACAAATTTCTCTTCATTGTATCTATAAAGTGTGTAGTAATATCATTCTATTATTTCTGTTTGCTAAGGCTACGCTACGGATATTTTATTTAAAAAACAAAATAAGGAAAGAAGGGAAATGACTTTCTTTCCCTCCTTTTTTATTCACTAACAAAAAATGATGGCAAAATTTTCTATTATATATGATATATAAATAAATAGATATAAATATACTGTATAGCATATATTAGCTGTAAACAGAGAGACGCCTTTTTTTTAAACAATTATTTACCATACAAACTGTCGTTTAATCGCAATAGAATTCCATTTTATTTTATAATATAGACTTTTCTTTATCGATTTAAAAGTAATACTGTCAATTTTTCAAAGTTTATTAACAATAATAGCGCCATCTAACGTTAATTTTTAATTTATGCTAATCGTTCATTAAGATGATAACTCAGTATGAGACGGGAAAAAAGAAGCCTTGATCTTATCAAATAAATTTAATAGATAAGCATTTAAGCTGGTTTTGTCAAAAAAAAAGCTAGAGAAAGAGAATGAGAAGGGAAGGGGTGATGGAAAAAAGTAACACTAGATGTCGTATTTGGGCTAGAATGAGAAACTGAGCAGAAAAGATGTCAACGCTTATGATTTATAATTTGCTATATATATATATCTAAGAGAAGGGAGAAAAAACTGGCTAAAAAAGGTGTGGTCGAGCTACTGCAAAAAAACTTTCAGTAGATCAAAAAAAAGAAAGAAATGTAATCTATCGATTAACTTCAATTACTGTGTAAAATAACAAATAATTCTACACCTGGTACTAATGTTTGAAGTTAAATATTTGGAAAAATTGAGTAAATAGGAAAACATAATTTTGGCGAGACACTTGAAATGACTGTATAGATTTTTTCTTTTGTATAAATACAAGTGCAATTCGATCCGCAGGTGATATTATAAAGGAAAAAATATTACTATAATTCTTCCTTCTCTACTTTTTAAAGGGTTTCAGTTAAGAACAGGGAAAAACAATCTAAACAACTGAAACAAGAAAGAAAATTAGTCTAACTGTGTAGAATTAATTTCAAAATACAGAATTTATATACAGCATATTGTTTTTCAATGCAGGTAAGCTTATATTAAATGCTAACACTACCTATAGACTATTATTGGAGCTGTATTTTATTAAGTTCTATTTAACATTGTTTTCTAGTTAGTGTTGTAATTTTCTCATATTTAATTAACAATATTATATTATATTTTTATCCGTCTATAAAACGATTGTCCTGTGGAGGAGGGAAACTATCATTCAATCATATTATAAATCAGTTTATAACGCCTTGTAACGCCAGGGGAAATAACAGTCTGTTAATAGCATTAAAATATATTATGCAAACGTCCTAAACATTTCGACAAAAATTCATCTATTATTGTTCCTTTCATCTCCCTTTCTAGTTTTTCTATATAGAGTAAATCTTAAACAATAAAAAGATGACTAGACTAAACTAACAAAAAATCTCTATTTGGATATAATACCGAGAAAGGCACGGTTTCATAATTTATAAATTTCAAGCGGAAAATTCATCAAAACATGAAAGTTTCTTTTGATTCAATTGGTCTTTCTTTTCATACTGACAATTCTCAAAAGAGCTTTGAAAAAACTATATATAATTTTTGTAAACTATTAGAATTATAATATTTTTCATTAGTGTTGGTCTAATAGCGAAAGACAATCTAGGGGTAGAGAGGGAGGGGCCGTAGGGGTAAAAATAGCAACGTTACTTTTCAGTTGTTAATACTATTCTTTCATATATATATATATGTATACATATATATCATTTATAGTTTTATCGAATACAACACTTTAAGGGTAAACAACAACATATAGATCGTGGAAAAAGAAGCTGAAAGTACTATTTAAGTGATAAAATGGTTAAAAATAACAATATAACCTTTGCTAATTTTTAAGTGTTCCCTAATACAACTAGATAATCAACTTAAATAGATTCATACATAGGTTAAAACTATAAACAGAGTATTCTCACTTTCATAAATCATTTATCTGGCACAAATATTAATGTTAAATAAAATTGTTGTGGTGATAAAGTAATTTAATTTTTGCAGTTGCCAAATATCGTTTTCAATAGTTTCACCTATAGTCTGGAATATATAAACTATGTAAATATGCCTAAAAAATTCCTTTTTTATCATGTATATTGTATAACATATATAAAATGATACGCCCTATATTTCTAGAATACAATTTATGTGAAACATAAGAAGTCTTCACTAACCTTTATTCGAAACCCGTCGGATAGCTAATCCCTTTGGAGCGCACAATACGCAATTTTGCAATTTTCTCTTCAGACTAAAATGCCTTACATGGTGTCCTCTTCCATGATCCAATAAATTATCCATAATATGCCAAATATCGGCGTAAGACATAGCCTTAACTAATTCGGCATGAGTACCAACAATGAGAACTGGAATATCCGGATTAATTTCATAAAGTGCTTGTAACCACATCTGCAATCTATGAACATGCCTAGCAAACAAATGTTGAGATCCATTTTGCAATTCTAAAGTAGTTAAATCGACAGTCAATAAATAAAGATCAACAGTCAACGATTTCGAATAATTATCAATAATATCGTTAGCAAGTACGAAAGCGCTAACATAGCACGAATCGTCGGCAGCATGTAGTTCAAAGTGTTGAATATCGAATGTTGAATCATGATTCTTAGCATCGTGCTTACAAATTCCCTTATCCGATTTTATCGCTTCGATAAGCGTGCTCTTTCCGGAATGTGATTCACCAACGATTGCAACGCTTATATCCCGAGCAGTTCGATTTGGAGATGGAGAAGCAAGGAAATTTTCGACTTCTAAATGAGATAATAATAACTCCTTATCATGTCTGACGAATGATGGTAATAACATAAGATTCTCATAGCGGAAACAAGTTAAGCGTTTTATTAGGTCAATGAAAACTGACGGTATCGTTTCGATTTTGTTATGGCTTATATCCAATACCTGGTAAAGAAAAATTTGCAAAAATAGACTATACATCTTCTATGTAAAAACTAGATGAATAGCTATACACCTAATAGGATAATTTAGCTATATAATCATACAGCTATTATATATAAATATATAGTATATATATACTATATATATATTTTTTTATATTAATATAGGGTTAGTTAAAGATTTAAACCTGTACCTATTGTAGTTCAGGTCAAAATCTTCATTATTTCTCTAAATTGTTAATCTACGCACCTGTAAGTGTCGTAAAGATGCTAATTGATTTGGCAATTTGCTTATCCGATTAGCTCTGCACCTTAGTACCTTTAGCTTTGTCAATGAACTTATAAAATTAATATTCCGCACCCCATTATTGCTGAACGATAGCGACCTTAAATTATCCAGTTGCGTTATGGTATCCGGCAAATGGGACAGTTTAGGCGTTTGAAAATCGCAAGAGAACGACCTAAGTGCCTTGAGACGACAAATTTCCGGCGGTATTGCTGCCAGCCTATTCCTATCCAATTTCAAATGCTCTAGACTCTCGATTTGCAATATTCCATCCGGTACATATGTTAAATAGTTGTTACTTAGAACCAGAGCCGTTAACGGTAGGCTACAAAGTTCCTGGCATCCAACATCAGCAGAATGGAGTTTACATTGTATTAAATAGAGAGACGTTAATCTTGTTGCATCTACCCTTTGCACGAGTTGCTCGATCGATGGTAAACAAGCGTCTCGAATAACTATCATATCCCTAACACAATCCCGTCCGGGAGCCAGGCTATTCTCCATATATTCCATAGTATTCTGTTTGACGAATAGCATGTACTGATCTCCAAAAGATTTTCGCTTATAAAGCGTTGAATCGACATCACAGGTTCTTGAAAGTAAATCATCAACAACACAGGTCGAAGGTAGAGCTTTACTGCTCTGCAAAGCATCTGTCCTGTCTAGATCGAACGATGGAGATTCAATAATCATTTTAACAGCTTCTAGATGACCTAATTTCAAAGCAAGATGTAAAGGAGAATCTTTCTCGGCAGTTCTATCTTTTACATTTACATCGCAACCGAATTCGATGAGTTCGTTGAGAACATCAAACTTTTCATCCAATAGAGCATGATGTAAGATTGTCCGCCCATCCTCGTCCTGCTGATCAACATCATTTTCGTGGACGAGAAGTTCTTTCAATTTCGAAATTTGCCCTTGCTTAATGAATTCGATTAGCGGTTCGATAGAGGACATTATTCCTTCTCTACGTTGGTTATATCATTTTTGCGAGAACTGGTTGTCTGTTTGACGAAATAGAAATTAGATTCATTTAAAAAAAAAACAATAAAGTTTTTTTTGTCAGTTTGATCTTAATAATGAAAAGCACAGAAAAAAAACGCCCATTGAGTTACTAATCAAATGTACCAATTTAGATAACCTTATTTTATTTTACAGAGCGTTACCAAGCGTTCTATTTTATATCCCTTTTTTTCTGTCTCTTTTTCTTTTCTTTTTCACTCACTCAACACCCTTTTACTTTTAGAGTTTTTATGAGGAAACTCTTTCTTCTTTGCGTACAAATATACACTCCATATAATGTATGTACAAAAAAATACATAGAAAACACTATATTTTTTCTAGGTTGAGTCTATTATTTTTTTCTATCGTAAAAATAGAGCAAGGAGATGATAGGTCTATCGTCACAATGCATCTAACATTCGATTGACTTTGCTCCTTTATAAAACTGGTAGGCCTAAATCATCGGCTTACATTTACAAAAGTAAAATCTAATTCCTGTCTTCCAGAATTTGTCATCGAAAATTCTAAACGCGTTAAAATTTTGTCACGAATGCCTATAAATAAATGATCCACTTAGACGTAAGTTATATAATGCAGTTGTATATAAATGGTATAGTGATATTCCAAAAACGTTATAGTTTTAAAAATGAAATATTATTACAATTAATTTCCATCAACGGAAAGATGAAGCTCAAAGAGGAGAATTCTTTCCTCTCTTCTTCTTTTTATTTTCCTTTTATTTCTATTAAAAAAAACGGTCTACAAAACATTTGAAAGTGCAGATGATTATGACGAGATAAAGAAAGAAAGAAAGAGAGAGAGATGGAGAGAGAGAGACAGAGACAGAGAGAGGGACAGAGAGAGAGGGAGAGAGGGAGAGAGACAGAGAGACAGAGAGACAGAGACAGAGACGCAGAAAGACGGAAAGAAGAAAATCAGAAAAGCGGATAGGCTTGAAACAATTTATTTAAGGTTTTACTGGAACCTAACTATGAGCTTGTATTTAATGAAAATAAACTATTTTTAAATATTCTAGAAAAAGGAAACAATGAAAAGTACTTTTGTTTCTAAAATATTTAAAAGATTACAAATATGATCATATTCCTCTTTGCTGTCATGGGATATACTGTATAAAAAATGAATAAATATTTCAGAAGAATAGACTCAATATCCAGAATATTTTTTATCTAGCAAAAAAAAATTCTATATTCTTCTTTACCCCATATATTTTTCTGTATAATACAAAAGTTTGTACAATAGAATAGGGATTTTACTCATTTATAATGCATAACGTGATGCAAGTTAAGAATTGAATATCATTTCCTCCTGATTCTTTTGTTACTATTTATCATTAAGTTGGAGAAAATGTGTAAAAACTGGCAGTGAAAAAAAATGGAAAGACAGATAGAAAGAAAAAAGAGAGACATACGTACAGGCAGACACAGACAATACTTATAAATTTTTAGGCTTCGTAATACTTAATCTTTACTTATTTGAAGAATTGTCTTCAAAGAAAACGTGAAATAAAGATATCATGCAACATCTTCATTACGTTAATTATAAAATTTAATATAAATAGAAAAGAAACGACGTATGTCACTTTTTACCATTATCATTTGTTGTTGATAATGCAACTGTATTCTAATAATAATAATAATAATTGAGGGAAAATGTTCTCCCTTATTCGTTAAAGACAATTTTATATCTTTTATCTAGTATTGTTATTGTTTTCTATTTAAAAAAAAAGTAATTAACAAACTAAATAAATTATTAAATACTTTTATAAATGAAATTGTGAATAAAATACTACTTTCTATCCATTTGAGGAGAATATGAAATATTTATTCCAATGGATATTTATTTAGAGTGTCTTTTGAAGTATGGTCCAATAGCTTTCGTACAGGATAACAAATTTCGAATCGATTTAAAAAGGCCATTTTTGTTAAAAATCAGTTCTAAAACATACACCACACTCTATACGATTGAATCGGTATTCTTGACAATTAACGTATTCGTATATATTTATATGGTTCTATATGTTACGTATATACGTATAACTGCCAGTATTCACTAATTAGTTTCTAGTGAATTAAGGAAATGAAATAAGAAACAATTGTCTCTTTTTATGAATACAACGCTTTTATCTAAGTATTTTTTTGTATCGTTTTGTATGTGTATGCGTACATAGATTTAACGCAAGGGGATAGTGTTACAATTCTATGGACACAGAGGATCCAAATACTGTCTTCAAACATGAAAAGAGAGAAAATTTTTTTATGCAATCTTTATTCACTGAATATAAATTCTTTTTTGAGAAAATAGTAGAAATATATAACAATAATTTGAAAAATATTCTCTTTCTTGTTAAGTATAGACAACACCATACTAGGATATGTGAATTATAGCACGCAATAGGCCTATTATTTGCCATAATTTTTCGATTTGCGCCTTTAATCTTGAGAAAGGACAAATTACTTGGTAATCTTTAACTATACTTAGTTTTTATGCTCGATTTTACATTTATTCCTAGTACATTTTATCACCTTTGTTGTTAAGAATTCACGTACATACGTGTGACGTTCTGTAGGAAAATTACTTTAACCTATTCTGTTTGTTAAAGGTTAATTAATTTTTTTCTTTTCCTTAATTATTTATACTAAGATAGAGAGTATTTGAAATTGGAAGAATAATAGAACTATTTAAAAATAAAAAGAATCACCTGTGTCAAAGTTTACTTTCAACAATGGGAGTAAAATACTTTGAAAAACCTACAGAGAGATCAGAGAAAAATACCAATTATCAAGTAGTGGACCTACGTTTGTTTTCATTTGTTGGTATAATGACAAAGAGTTGTATGAAAGTAGAAAGTAGTGCAAAAAGAGAGGAATAGAGATTAAATATTATGAAGAAAAAAAAATGTAAGAGGAGGGGGGAGGGAGGAGTGGGGGGAAGGCAAGAGGGAAATAACGGCAAGTGGGGACGGTCTAAAATTAAGGTACAGCTTTAATTCTATTCTATATATCTTTGTTCATATATAAATTGTAATTCGAGTAAGAAATATCGTACTATAACAAAAATTTTATATATAAAAGACTAATCATTTAACAATCATGTATAATTAATAAATTCCTATTTGTCAGTTATAAACCGATTATTGAAATAAGTAAATATTATGTTCAATTGTTGAAAATATGTTTTAAACAATTAAGCTTTAACAGATTTTTTCCTGTTTTATAGATTTTATAGATTAGATTAGTATAAATCAACAAAATCAAAAATTACAATTTTTACTGATTCGACTACAGATTATAGAATATTTTTACAAACTATTAGTCATATTTACAAGTTTACTCACTTTTCCTTTCTACTTCTATCACTCTTTAACAAATATATATCTAGCTCTAATAAATTCTTTTATATATTTATATTTCTTTAATAAAAGAAGAAGGCCATTCTAAAATAATTATAACAAAAACTGAGCTTTTTGAAATCAAGTAGTAACTTTAAGCCTAGTGATTCATTAATAAAAATAAACTAGAAAAATTTAGAACAATACACTTTATCACTCTACACCTGAATTCTTACCAGGCGTAAATTTTTGTTAATTAATAACCAAGAGCATCATTTATAGTGTCTTACAGTAGGCTGAAAAATAGTTTTTTAAATATCCCCCTCCCCCCACAACAACACAATTCTGTCACCTATTTATCTAAAGCAAATATTGCTGCTATTACGTTATAAAAGACGCATGAAATTCGTTTCATATTCAAATCTTCTTTACATAAATAAACAAACAAAGTAAGCCTTTGAAAAAGCACCAATCCTTATTCAAAATGCGGTAAAAACTATACAATAGGAATTTTGGTGCGAATAAGGTAAAATTAGATGATATATAAGATTAATTCGCCCATTTTGAATAACATAAAAAAAGATTAATAGTATAGAAAATATCTTTGAGAAAAAAAAATCGACTTATTTATATGAGAGAGAGCCTTTAACAAAAAAAATAGAAGAAAACGTTTTGGAATCAGTGTGATTCTTTAAAAATATTCTCACCTTTTTTACAGGAAATTATTAGACAAAAAAATTTTCGTCTTTATCATTCACAATTTATCATAAATTTTCAACGATTATAAAATCCGTCCGTATTGCAGTCGGCTAAATAATTTGCAGACGTCTATAAAGCGGCAAAGAGCTCTGCAAAACATGGCTGACCGATCCGAACGGCTTGCATAATCAATAAAGCCAAATGACGCCAGTGGCTCCATCATACGGTTATATTGAAGGCTGCATTATTGCTGTTTTGCTGTTGCATTTTCCATTTTGGTATTAAAAAATTGACTATTTTTCAGGAAACATAATTGATTGTTCTGGAATTAAGAATAGATTTTTTTTATAAGGGATGACCTACAACAAGGACTTAGTACAATATGTACTATATCAATCCATTTCGATATTAAAAGGTCATTAATCTCTACCATTGGTACTAGTTAAGTCAACTTTTACGCTTAAATTCCACACACATGATAACAAATTGCTTTCTTATATTAATATTGACTTTTTCTTTAAATTTTCAATAACTTTCTATTCAATTAAAACAGTACTATACAATAGTACTATATAAAAAATACAGCCTATATAGATGTATATATATACCCAGTCTATATGAGTGTGTGTATTTTTTTTATTTATATATTTTAATAGGCCTACTCCTTGTCTTTCTTATAATATCATTGGGGAAAAGTAATTTTTGCCTCTGATTTTTATGTCTATGTATTATTCACACGGTTATCGTTACTAAATAAATTAGCGTTGCTTAGTTAACTAAATCCTTAGTTACGTAGACATGCAAAGCTAAATCCGGCATTAAAAGTTGGTTCAATAAGTCTTTGACAAGCTTTAACAGTTTTTACAATATTCACCAATTATTTACGTATAACAATCAAGCAATTAAATTCAATTGATGAACAACGAATAATTAACCAAACAACGTTACTAAAAGTCTCTATAAGAGTAAATATTAAAACTATTATATAACCGTAGATTTTAACCTAGGCCTCTAACCGATTTAAGAAAAAAAAAGCTACTATTGGCATAGAAACGTTACGTTCTAGCGTTACAGCATATCCATTAAATACTGAAAATATTTAATAATATACTGTGGCATGTTATATATTGTTATATACCTGTCTAAAATGATATTTGATGCCTAAAACATAACTCTACCTAGTGTGACAATCTATTAGATAAATTTCCAAAAGCACTTTTTTCCCCTTCTTTTTCTAAGCCAGGAAAATGTAACGATCAATTAGGGATAATTGGAGGAAAAGTATAAGGATTACTAATAATTTATTCTTTTATGTAAAAAGAATATTTCTAATAATGTTGGTTAGGGTTTTGTTATTGAAGTTATGGATTAAAAGCGAGCTTAGTAAATACTTAAAATTGTTTGGAATATCATTATGCCAATAATACTAATACTGTTAACCTTTATATATTTTAATGTTCACCTGTATTATTTGCATGTGATTTATAGTTTGCAATAGACGAAAAGTTACCTCCTTCTATTAATTAATGTTTACCAACAATATAGGTGTTGTTAAGCTAAATATCTTTCATGTTAAAAGTATTAAATTACAGCATAATACTAATTAAGCTGCGTATCGTACGAGAATTTGCGTTCAAATCAATACCACACCCTTAAATAGTCCCTTTTTCATTACTAGAAAGAAAATAAAATAAAAGAGCCGTGTGTTTCTTTCAATTAATCTCTTGATTATTAGCAGAAACATATAAGTTTAAGTTAATTAATTACTTTATAAGCTAATTTTCTTGTCTCTTTTAATTTTGCATCGTAAAAGTTTAAGAAAAACATTTCAAATTCAAATGAGCAAATGCTAGTACAACATTATAATATTAAAATTAAAACTGTTTATACTAATAGGCAGCACAGGTTTGACAACATTTTTCTCGCATAAAATACGAACTACACTTCATAGCATCCCTATAGAAATTACAAATACTTGGTGATAAACGATCGCCAAAAAGGCAGTTTACATCATTAGATGCCATTCGACGACATGTTTCGCAGCAGTGGCGTCGATTTGCAGTAGAATAACAGTCACGTCTGTTCAGGCGACTGCAAAAATTTGGTATGCGATCACCATACCAGCAATCGCGTATGGTAGAGCGGAACTTTAAACATGATTTGCAGCAGGTGATTTCCACCTTTTTAAAATAGCACGATCGCTTTTCAATGATGTTACAATATTGTTTTTTGTCACCATATTTACAATTAGCAGGGCCTGTGTTGAATTTTTGGCAAGTTTTACAGCAATCTGTTTCCAGTTGGTAGCAATCGCTAGGAATTAGGGCGTTGCAGGAGGAATTTTTATCTCCATAAGCGCATTGCTGATTCGAGGCGTCCCAATAGGCTCGGCAAGTAGCACAGCAGACTACTTCAAAATCGTAGCATATTCCTGGACCTTCAGCGATTATCTTTTCGTCGCATCTCTTTCCCTAGAAACAAACCGAAGTAGAAGAACAATAATAGAGGAACTATTAACCTATTGCCATTTTCTTCGTCATTAACCTATAATCAGTCTTCCGCTTCTTAGTAGGGGTTAACTGACATATAAACGGTCATTGAGTCAATTATTTAAATAATAACAGTTATTAATATAAGTAGCCCAAGTTCCTTTTTCCCTTCCAGCCGTCTCTTTCGCACTAACTTTACTTCTCTCTAACTAAGAGTGGATATGGTTAGGAACTTGGTTGAGAAAATTCGAATAATCAATTAAGATAAAAGAAACAAAAGTAATTACAAATTGAGTCTAAAAAAGAAAAACAATGCTCTTAATTCATCTCTTTTTGTCAAAAGACTTAAATTTTAGTATGAATATTTCATTATTAAAATACTGTATATCTAGGTAAATATAATTAAAAAAAGGCGTTTCTCAAATATTTCCAACATTTTAGGATATAATCTTATATAAGGAGCTTAAACGTGTAAGAAGCTCAATTAACCTGAAAGAGAGTTATATGATGGCGTATTATAAAATCCTTAGGAACTCTTTCTCCTTTTCTATTTGTCACAATCATAAACCTTTTACTATATTTTTATACGAATACTGACAGTTCTATTATTTTACAGTTAGCTTTCAATATTAACTGTAACTGATAGATTAATTATTACAATACAAAATTTATCTTTATTAAGTTATACCTTCAGATTATTTGATAATTTAGTTGCTTGGACTTGAGAGGAATTTGTAAAATCTATGCATCCGGTTCCGGGCTCTGGTTCCGTTTCATTAGGCGATCGGAATTTACAAGTTTTGCAACAAACTTCAGGACTATAATCGCAATCGGAAGTTTTGCATAACGTTGATATATCACCGTATTCACAGCCTAGAACTTGAAATTTTCTTTGACAGGACTCACAACAAAAAGGGGCATTGTAATAACATTCGGTTTCATGCATGTACTTGCACTCCCTGCCCTTTTCGCAGGGCGCCAATTCGCCCTTATTCATTAGCGCCATTCTATGCAGTAAATTCGTCGAATTCGTCCTGGGAATTTGGATTGTATAGTATGTAGAATCGATATTTAATACTCCTGTCTGTTTATGTTTGAATAAAGATACAAAAAAAGAAGAGATAAAACATCTAATCTAATCTATCATAATTAAAACATATGTTAATCTACTGTTTTCCCTAAAAGAAATATGTAAAAACAGAGAATTATTACATAGTAGAGGAATAAACCACTTGTACGGTTTACCGCTGTAATAACCAAGATTTCTCGGCTCTGTTCCGATCTTGAGATATAGATGGCGCTAGCCTGTCAAAATGTTAAGTAAAAGGGTAAAAAAGAAACAAATCAAAGGAGACAGAATATACATATAAAAACAAGCGAGCGCTAATTGATTGTTTAAGTTTTTCTTTTGTATAATGTATAATACAACTGAAAACTTTAGATAGAATTACTTTTGTTTGTAAAATTCCAATTAGGTATACATCTTAACTTTTTTTTTACATTAATCTTTGCACTAAAAATAGCTGCAACAGCATCTTAATGTTGATTTAGTAAAATAATGGATTCTTTGATACACGTCCAATCTATAATGACGTATAATACAAATACAATCTCTTGTACATGTGTATATAAATATATATCCTGCTGGATTGTTTATAATGAATATCATTGAATGGTCCATACTCAACTAAATAATAACTAATTTTTGTAATTAGAAGGGAAAAATTTACTCAACAAAGTAATTGTATAGAGAGTTAAATAATAGCCTATGTTAGTCCATGTATATGTAATTTACATATATACAGTATATATATATATACATATACTAATATATAAAGTATATACCATAGCGCAGTGGTTTTTACCTTTTACTTAACTAAATTAAGAGTACAGCTTCTGTCTCTATTATTTAGAAATGTGTTAAATATATCTTTTCCTTTCCTTCTTCTTAATCGTCTACTCTTTTTTTAACTGTTTAAACATTCTTCGAAAGTATATCAACTATCCCCTCTTACATTAGGAGGTTAAGGTCTTAGAGAAGATAAAAACCCTCTCCAACTAAAAACTGACCTTAATGACTAATTGAAAGGTATAAAACAATTAAAATCAAGTATTTGCGGTCCATATTCTAGATTAGTAGGGAAGAAAAAAAACATGTAAGGAGTAACTACAAGGTCGACTAAATTCATCAAACTAAGCTATTTTAGGTGCATATTTCTATGGATTTTTATAGAGCTCGTGCTGTTTGATAAATAGAATTCTTTTTCTTGACGGATTCTTTTAGGCGTTTCCAATAAAAATAGTTATAACTTTTTTTATCTTAATGATTCTGTTTAAAGAAAATCAAGTAATCATATTTACCAGTTTATTCTAGCAAAAAATTAAACTTATAAATTCTGATTAATTTTACAGTGCAAATAGTTGTATCAAGCGTAAAATAAATTCTATCGAAATGAGAAAACAAAAAGAAAATTAGCTTATTCTATATAGGCAATAAGAAATACCATATACTGTATATATTGTATATATATATATATATATATATATATATATACTATATATTTGGGGAATATCGTTAATCCTTCATTTTAAGCTTATTAATAGTCGACTAAAGTTTATATACTTACAAGATCATTGCTAAAAATATCCCGTTGGACATTAGATGTTCTTCTTAATGATTTTCTATCTAAGAAACTATAGTAATCGTTTGAAAAATTGAACACAGTAACTGTCATCCATTGCGGTAAATTTGGCCATGTAACATTAATATTTGGTATAAATTTGACATTATCGTCTAATCTAACACTTAAAAATAATTGTATAAAAACAAAGAAACATGTATCTAACAGTTTATGAAAATTCATTTTCAGCTTTCTATCATATTTACAAATCAACTCTCTCTAAACTTGTAAATTGTTGAAAGTAATAAAAATAACTTTGGCCAATCTCAATCACTCCGGTTCGTCGATATTGCTTTTTTGTATTGCCTATTACGAGGCCTAACAAATAGTAATAAGTTTACATATTTTCTCTTATTTAATAACTTTTCCTCTTTTTATTCGAAAATTAAATATATATATATATATATATTATATCTATATATGTATATATATAGATAGATAGATAGATATATTGTACTAGATATATTGTCACAATACACACTTATATAAAATATTCAATTTTGTAATATAAAGTTTCAAGTATCTTTCTGAAAGAAGTAAGAAAACTCATAAATAAAGCTTTCTATTATAAATCTTTATATCTTTATTTAACAATGGCAGAGTTATGACGGAAGTATTCTTAAAAGAGAAATAACTAAAATGAATGACTCAAATAGGAATATTTTCACACGTTTTTAGATAATGAGATATATTGTTAGAGAGGACTTCTGTGTCGTCTTTTATTCCTAGTTTATACAATATATATATATACAGCACATATATATTTGCTAATTCAGACAGATATTCTATCTTATTGAGAATTCTCCCATTATCCTATTTAAGCCAGAGGATCTTAAGAGTTATCAATTAATTATTTGTTACGTTTCTTTATTAGAGCAGAAAGTTCTTAAATTGACTCCTCTGCAATTTTTTTAAGTCTGCTCGTTTGATGAAAATGTAGTAAAAAGAGTTAAAAGCTTACTAATGATAGTTAATCAACCAACTTTTAAATATAAAGTATTGCCTTAAGATGTTAAGAAATTATACCTTTTTCATTTTAAGTTAGGAACCTAGTCTAAGTACTTAATAGTTATGTTAGCGAAATTTATCATGTATAACGTTCATACCAGACAAGAACTATAGGTACCTAAAAATATCATATATGAAGAAAATCTCTTCGTTGCTTTGTAATCCAAGTCAATGATGTCCTTAAGCTAAGTTATATAAGCAAACACCATTAAAAGAGTTGTTTTAAGTAAATTTCGACTTTCGATAACTTTCTTTAAGGGGGAACATAAGAAAATGGAATAATATAACATCCTTTTCAGCTTTTCCTCTTCTATCAAATTTATTGTACCTGCCTTCTAAAAAATTCTTTTCTCTTTTGAAATCTGATCAACAATAAAAGAAAATATTTTAAAAGGAATTTTTATGTTAGCGAATGGAAAACTGGAAAAGAAAATATAATATTAAGATATAACAGTATCTAACATACTGACCATAAATCGTTCTAATAAATAAAGAAGATTATTTAGGAGCTCGGACTATAAGGTCTAAATTTTCTATGGACTGAGGGCTCCTTCAATTATATATATAGTGTACACATATATTCAACTTGATTACAAAATATTCCCTTATACTCTTTGAACAAGTGTAACTTATTCTGTATTTTTATCTTTTCAATTTTTCCAAAAAGGAAAGAAAAAAGGTTAAAAAAGAGATTCATTGTATATGATTCGTTATTTGGTAAAAAAGAAAAGAAAAGAGAGAGAATAAATAAAGAAATAGCTAATTCTTCTTCATCTAACTGACATCAAATAATACAATGTATAAATTTAAAAAAGGATATAATACATATATCGTCGCACTGTATACATTGTCTTAAACATTATACGAACATTATTGTATATGAAGATAGGATTCAGTTCAAAAATGTGCAAAAAAAATGCATATATATACATATTTAATATATATAATGTATATATAAATGATATGTCTTTCAGTTTAAAATATGAATAGAACAAAATCGTTAAAATGTATACATAAAAAAATTAATAAATATCATAGATTTGAATAATTTTTGTATCAAATTTTTATTTTTGAAATACGTTCTTGTATGTTTCTTTTTTCATAAATTTTATAAATTGCTTGTCTTCTTCTTATGATAAAATGATTCTTGGAAATTTTCTATTTTAACCAAGTCATAATATTTGTTTCCTCCTTAGGAAAATGGGAGCATGAATAAAACTAATAAAATTTTAACCATAATATTTGTTTTATCAAGGAGGTTTTTCTGCGTTAATACTTTCGGAATGAGACAACATATTTACACACTGTTATACGTATGTTATGCAGTTATAAAGATTAATAAAAACATAAAAGCATCAATCAGCATCAATCAACTTCTAGACACAGTTAATGGTCGCTTCTTGCGCCATCTACAAGTCAATATTCGCCAATACGTCCTCCTAAAGTTAGCGTTACATAAAGCGTAGCAAAGTGGATTTATTGTACTATTTATATAGCATAGCCAGTACCCTAGAAAAAATAATGAAAGTATAAAAATGTTTATTAAGAAATTAGATTTTTAGAAATGGGTGTCTTTAGTCTACGAGATAAAGAGATAAATCGAAAATAAGAAAATGAAAAGTTAGAGAAAGTTGGAAAAAAGAAAGGAAGAAAGAGAGCGAGAGAGAGAGATAGAGAAAGAGAGGAGAGATTAGAGCGTGTGTATGTGTGCATGTGTACAGGAAGAAGTGAGGAAGAGAAGAGATGAAATAAATAATGGAGAGAGGGGTTCAACATATTTTCTCAATAAATTTTTATAGGAAATAGATTAATATTGTCTCTTTCTTTCTTTCTTTCTTTCTCACTCACCCACTCTCACTCTCTCTCTCTCTCTCTTTTCACTTTTCTTCCTATCTTTCTCTCTTTCTCTCTCTCTCTCTTTCTCTCTCTATATAGATATATATTTCTCTCACTCACTCTCTCTTTCTCGTGAAAAACAATTAGTGTATAAATTAGCTTATCTGAATTCAATTTTTCGAGAATCAATTAAAAGTTAGGTACTTTCCTTCTTCTGTTAAAAAATACGGTTGAAAATTTGGCTTTTTGTTTTGTTCAATGAGTTTAAAAATAAAAAAAGAACTACAAAAAAGTGAATTTGTGTTTTCTAGGAAAAGAAAAGCTTTAAAATTATGCTTCTGTATAGAGCAAATTTAAAAAAAAGAAGGAGGACATTAGCCTAGAGTCTACTTTAAAAGTCCTCATAGTGTCGATATTCAAATGAATGTTAATTATTTTGAAAGAAGATATTTACCTATACCATAGACTGTCTCGTGGACAAATCCTGGCTGAAAAGCTTCAACAAAAACAAACAAGTTGTAAGGCGTCCAAGTAATTATAAAGGCTAGCAGAATAGCACTCAATGTCTTGGCAGCCTTCGTGTCTTGCTTCCTTTCGTGACCTCTCCTACGTTCTTTGTGATTCGGTAATTTCCGAGTTCTTTTCAAAAGTTCTTCTTCCGTGTCGTCCTCGTTGTACATCTTTATGGAAGCTTTAGAACTTCCTTCTTCTGGAAGTTTGATTAAAATTGTATATGTATCAGCAATATCATCAGGTGGTTTTGAAATGAGAGGTATCATTCTCTCATTCTTTCCATTTTGCTTAGGTGATGTATTACTCCATTCGTCTTCATGATCAGTTTCATCTGCTTCATCAATTTTGCAACATCTCCTCCAACAATACCTATTTCTCCTATTTGAAATCTCTTCATCGGAATCCGTAGAATGAGCTTGTAACTTCTCTAACCCCCTTTGTCTCTTTTCAGTTTCTAAGTAGATTTTGAAGTAAAGCACACACATAATAAAAACAGGAAGGTAGAAGGCTGCTATAGCTGTTGCTATTGTCACATACTGATTACTCTTTAAGAATTGGATATAACAATCGTCCTCAGGAACAGTTCGACGGCCCTCTAAGTGTGGCCAACCATAAATCCAAGGTGTCCAAAGTATTATTGAGACGACCCAGGCGCAGAAAATCATAATTGCTGCTCTTTTTGGTGTTCTTTTTGCTCTATAGGTTAGCGGTCTAGTTATACTCAGATACCTGAATAGGAGGGTATGCAAAAACTTTACGTAATAATTAGCGATATTTATACGTACGACGGGGATTTAAGGCCCCGATTTATAATTGATCCTTATTTATGAAATAGGACTTTAAAACGACTTGATTATATATTCTGTGGCGTTAACGTTTTTGATTGCTTAAAAGGAAATAAATAATAAAGCGAAAAGTCCCTTTGAAAGTGATAAAATTTTACGTGACTAGCTAACGAACTAACTCAAATTACCTGTCGAAGCTAATCAGTAGAAGATTAGCAACGCTCGCATTGCTCATAGTATAATCCAAAGACAGCCATAAATCGCAGGCAATTCCACCCAACGGCCAGGACCTTCTTATTAATTGCACAGTATACAAGGGCATTGAGAATAGGCCTATAGCTAGATCAGCGACGCTTAAGCTGAGTAAGAAATAATTGCTAACGGTTTGTAATTGCTTGTCCATCTTGAAGCTGATCATAACCATTAAATTTCCGCCCGCCGTAAGAGTGGCGATAATCGTAACGATAATGGAGACAATAACGATTTCGGATAGGGAAGCCTGGTCCCCGGAAGTGGAATTAGTCGAATTCATTTTTTTGGCCTGCAATATAGAAAAAGAAGCTAGAATATTGGCGAAAAACCTCTCCTTCTAATTGATTGACCAAACGACGCAGATGCGCGTAGTTTACACACTACAGATAGGCCTAGACAGTATTGGTAGTCATTTTTCACGAGTCCTCACCAATTCCTTTTTTTTATGAATATGACAGATTTAGAGTATAATCTATCGCTTACCAACCGATTATAGCCTTTTTTTTTTACTTTGTTAATTATGTACAATCATTCCTTTTATTCCATTAGCATAAAGTATTGAAAAGACTTTTTCCTTCTTCATAATTTATTTATGCTAGTTTACATTACAAAGTTCAGAAATATTAATATTTATTATAATAATAGGCAATTTTACAGTTGTTTCAAAATATAATAAAACCCTTATAACTCTTATTTAAGCCCTTTTTATCAACCAATAACGCATCTCTATGTATAATACCTTTTTATAAAAATAGATTATTTCTTTGTATCCGAAAGCCAAAATAGGGTATGAGTAGTTTAATGTAAACTAATATAAGTAAATCCATCTCCTCTGGTTAATAAGAACAAAGAGAATAGTAAAATATCCTGATTTTGGGTCATTTACAGTTAAATTATCTTGCTGATTTAGTATGATTCTGTTGGTCAGTGGCGTGACAGGTTGAATAAAATGATGAGTGATCAAAAGACATGCGAGTATATATATATATACAGTATATATATTTATATTAGAATATTTATATATGTTCTAATGAAAAATTACTCTATTTTTAACTAAACACAAGTATAATATAAATCAAAATACAGTATACAGTATATTATAAAAACTGCAAAATTTTCTACAGCAATTATTAAGTAATATATTGAATTTTTATCTATTTTATCTTGAATAAAAGCTACCTACTATTCTTCTGAGTTTGTAAATATTAGTGCAATATTAATAGATCCATTTTCCATTTATAATCCACGTTTGCCTCCGAAAAAAAACTATACAAAAAATCATGGTTATAGAGTATGTATCGTCTTTTACAAGTCCGCTGACTAGATGAATCTAACCGTCCGTAGGAAAGTAAGATTCGGCTATTCATCAAAGTTTCTCACATAAAATCAACACGAATTTCCATCGTTTATCATCCAAGCCAATTTCGGTTATTATCCCAAGCGTTTTTTCACGCCTACACGGCGATTTTATCACCACAGTATAAACAATGCTGTTTATTATATAAGAGTTTGAGTTACTCTTTAGCAAAGTTACTTTGGAAGCATATCGTTGTTTGCATGTTTGAAATATTGACCTAAATTGTACTTTTATGACTATAAGCTACAGAAAATAGGCCTTTTACAGACTAGTTTGATGGAGTCTTATACAATTTGTTTTGTTTATCAAATAAGAGATCGATTTACCCTAGTTGAATAACTTCGGATGCATCACTAATGCATTTAAAGGCTTACATTGCTAGTAGACGCATTTGTAATTGAAAAGACTCCCTTCTTGAAAGTCTCTTAGAATGGAGAAATATCAGTTTCTTTTTTAATTTTTTTTCTTCTTTCCTTGTATATTGTCAACAAGAATGCCCCGAAAAGGATAGGAGAAATACAATATATATATAAAATTTATATATATATATATATATAAATCGCATATATAAAATGAATCTTTTTGTATACTGTATAGAGTATAGCATATTGCATATTGGTAGTTCATCATTGAGCTGAGGGTATCTCTCTTTCCTCTCTCTTTTTATTATCTAGAACGTACTTAAAAATGTACTAGAACACTAATAAGCATTAAAAATGATCATTACTACCTGATAAAGAAATAAAAATAAAAAATGGCTAAAAATAGCCGAATATTTTACCCTTTTCTAAGAAAGTTCTAATACTCTAGGTCATGACTTGACGAAAAATGACATGCAACCTTCTTTCATAATCATGAAAGCAAAAGGGAGTAATAGACCGTGCATACCCAATTGCTGTTTTTTGAATGAAACCAAAATGTTTTCAGGCTATTTATCAGCGGAAAGAATTACAATGACCTCTCGCAACTAAGCCACTTACTAGTCGTCAATAATTCAGTTTGGGTTGTATAGGATTTAAAATAAAATTATTTTTTTTAATCGCATTTTCTATCTATTTCTTAAACTATAAAGCTAAATCTTTACAATCAAACGCGTACATTTTTAAATAGATTGTACAGATTAACGATATTACAGTTTATTAAATTATTACATAAATTATAAAATTAACGAGTCTATGATGTATTTAGTGTTATCGTTAATAAAACCTTTTAAATATATAGATATATTCTTTTTAAAAGACTGATTCTAGAGACAAATATTTTCTACTTAGAAAAATTAATAACGTTGTGTTAATTAAATAATTTTTATGCTATTAATAGAATATTTAAGAACGGATATTATAACGGGAAAAAGTTTAATTAAAAGTTATTTCTTCAACTTTTAGCTTAATAAATAGAAATTTTAAGTTGTTTTTGTCAAAGAAAAAGAAATTTAATTTAATTTCTTCTTCTTCCTTCTCCTCCTACTCCTCCCCCTCCTTTTCTTTTGCTACCCTGACTTTTGTTGTTTTTTCTTACTACTGCTTCCTTTAGTCATTGAATTAGAAATATAAAAAAGGATAAAACATCTGCCTGTAAAAACAGCAGGACGCCATCTTTAAGGGACTAATTGTAAGATCAGCTAAGCACTAGGGAGTCGTCAGTAATTCCTCCCCACGGCTTTTCTAATTCTAAACTGTCTACCCGGAGAAATCATGAAGAAATCTCGTTCTTATACAACTGTTTGTTTGAAGATACTAAAACAGTACGTCAAGTGTCAAAATCAATGCAGTTGAATGTTACGTAATATTATAAATAAGTTATAAATAACAAATCAAAAACATTATTAAAGCGAGATAAGAATAATAATAAAGAAAAACTGAGAAAAACAGAATGTAATCTCATTTGTTGAATGAAATCAAAAACTTGGAAGCAAAGTTCTCTAATATTATTATCTTTAACAGTATTATATTACTATACATTACATTGTTGTATTTATAAAAGAAATATTTAGGGGCGTCTTAGATATTATTAATGGGAAATGTTTATCTATTCGAAAGCAAACGCCTTTGAATGAAATGAAGCGAGGAAAGTCTTTTTGTACATACTCGGTTAAACTTACTGAATCAAAATCCAACTGCTTCCGCACTATTTATCAGCGCAACCAATTACGATCACCTAAGCACCTAAGCCACTTAAGAGGCGTCACTAATTCATCCCTCAGGCCTATCCAGTATAACGAAACCACGCCGGCGCTTCTCTACAATGTTTGAGAGACTAGAATTTTCCCTCCAGCCTAACCATTTTCACCTTACGTGCACAAAATCAGGCCATTTAGGGATATCGTCGACGAAGAGTTGTCGACTCTGGTAATGGATGGTGATGAGTTTTTGTTGGCCTGCATCTGCCAGCTAAAATTTTTATGCTAATTATGATCATGAACCGACAGTGATTGATTGCCTATCGATTTATGAGCGTTAGATTTAACAAATAAAAAAATTCGACAAAAAGAGGAAACATATAGGCCTAGGAATTGTCTCTCTTTTTTTCAACATCCCTTCCCTCCTATCTTTTTTTTACGTCTTTCGAATTCCTATTTCAAGCAATAGTTATCTTGATCTAATTTTTATCAATAAAATTAAAATTTAGCCCTGATAAAAAAAATATGACAAAAGCTGAAGAAAATAATGATTGTACAAAATATCTAGACTTTTAAAGGAGTAAATAATTTAGAAGAACGGAACGAAAGAGGAAAACTAAAATCCTGATGGAAATACTTAAACAAACAACTAAAAGAGACAAAAAAGAGTAAAATAAATGAAATTAAATAAATTGTAAAAGATATTTTTCACCTATTAGAAACAAATTTTTAATCGATAAGAATCAGAAATGAAAGGAATAGAGACAAATTCCATACGTTAAACATAAAACAAAACTAGAATCTTCTTTTATGAAAAGAGAAACGAGTGGAGGACAAAAATTATTCAGAGAAGATCTGTGTAATTCCATATATGTAATTGAATATATTCCAACGGAATAGCATTTACAGATGCTAAAAAGACCGCATCCAATCTTATCTAACTTCTTTTTTAATAGTATTTATCATTTTTCGATTTTTAACATTTAGTCATTTTTTAGGCCAGATATACCATATATAAAGCGTATAATATCTATATTTAGAAGTTTAAAATCCATGCAAATATATATATTTTTATATATCTTTGATAAATGTACAGAATATGCTATATAAATATACCTCACACGTATTTGGTTATTTATATATACAATATATTGTAATTACTATTTTCTCACAAATTCTTTTCCTATGCTGTGTATAAGAAAACGGTTTCTTAGTTGTAAAAACCACTTATTCATCACTTATAGACTATAGAGTAGACGATAGGCAGGCCGATTTCCAATAATTTACTTTTTTTTTTTTTACAAAACGAAGAATTAACGTCATTCGACATCAAATATTTTGGTTCCAAGGCAGAAATGCAAACTTTGGAACGTGAAATATTTGACGACAAAGCAACGCATTTTTTTTTATTAATATTATTAGCTAGAATCTTTCTTTCTTTCTCTCTCTCTCTCTCTCTCTCTCTCTATCTATCTCTCTAGCTTACTTTCTCTCTCTATCTCTCTTTCTCTCTATATATTTTGCATATTTTTTTTAGCATGTTATTAATACTTAATTCTTTGCTTTAGTTATTCTAATTCTATAGTTTATTTTTGCTATCCATCTCTTCATATCACCCATTTCCCCTTCACACTTCTCTCCTTTCAACTACACTATCCTCTAACTGCCTCCTTCCACCCCTTCCCGCAAATTTTTTTATTTTATTTTTTTCTCTTTAAATATTTAGGATATTTCCAAGAATTGGTTTGGTATTTTCCCATTTTTTATTACTATCTCTCTACTTCAGCTATTCACTTTATCTTCTTCCAAAAAGTTTTCTTTCTTTTGACACCTCCTCTCCTTTTCTTTCTCTTTTCATACTATTCAAAGACTGTTTTATCTTTAACTACATACATTATATATCTATCAAAAAGGGGGGGTATTTATTTATTTATTAGGTAGCGGATCGTTTATCTTTGGTAATTTATCACCGCCACCCGCTTTCATCCTATCAAGTTTATTGATAAACTATCATGAAAATTTTTTCCAATATTATCCTAAAAACCCTATTGAATGTCTATTTTTAAAATAAATATTTCCATAATTTACTCTTATTTTATAACTTATTATTTTTATAATCAAAATAATTTAGAAATATGTAATTTAATATTTTACATGTGCCGTATTCCCTTAAATTTTTGTTTTCTTATGCGAATACAAACATTTGACTAAAAACGTTTATCAAACATTTTCTCAGTATAGGTGAAAGGTAATTGAGGTCGTATGCAAATCATCTACAAATTTAGAAAAGAGTATCGAATCTTTATATAATATATATATATTTAAGTTCTGATTAATTCAGTTAAGGAATATGATAATGCGTGAGGATAACGTTTTAAAATTCATCCTGGGGCATCTATATAAACTCCAATATATCAGTTTGGAAGGATTAATCTAATATAAAAAACTATTTACTTATAGCTCTCATCTTAGGAATCTCTACTGGAAAAAGAATATTCCAAACGCAACATGCAGCACATACATATAATAAACCTTTTAACAATTATACCACATTTTAAAGTTATAGGAGTTATGACATTGCTACTCATTATTTTTCTTATTATTTTTATATTATGGTAGAATTACTGACGAACACGTTAGTTAGCAAGGAAATATCATGATATTTCGACGCCTATCAACGAAAATTCTCTGTATGAGAGAATTTATAGGATATTATTTTTATGGTACAGTTTTACATGTTCGTAAAATGTTACATTAATATTTATATCCTTTTTTGTCTCTTTCTCTCTTTCTTTCTCTCTCTCTCTCTCTCTCTCTCTCTCGCATATGCTTTCTTTCTCTCCTTTTTTTCTGCCTTCCTTTATCTTATATAAACTGAATAAACTGTAGATATTGCATATTTCTTTCTCTTAGTCTCACTTTTCTAATACTCTTTGTCTATGTCGCTCAGTTTTTCCTCAGATAACTTTTAAGAGATGCCTCGTATATTTCTTGGCCTGGGAAGTTCAGGCGGAAATTGGTGAGAGATATTGTTAAACTTTGGTTTACTTTCTTTTTTACAACTGAACGATTTGAGTAAGTTTAAGTGAGATAAAAGTGTAAATTAAAACTACTTGTTGAGCATTCAATGAGACCACAATAAACTCTCTAAATTAAATGAATATGAATATTCATTGGGTAATAAATATGCAAATGATTGTATGGCATTGAAATTATTCGGCATAATTCAAATTCATTTGAACTTAATATACGATTAAAGTAAAAAGAAATCACCTAACCTAATCTTCTTCCATTTGCTAATTAGCTTTGATTCGACCAACAAAAGCTAGACGGCTCTCATTTCCTGCAGTTCGGCCAACTGGAACGTTTTCTTTGTCAATCGCCTGCAAACAAATTTCGTTGTAGAGTTAGATCGATTGTGTCGATTCGTTCTTGCGTGCAATTGCGCAATTTATTAGAAAATATGTATTTTTTGCGATTAAATTCTAAAATACTTCGGACATTCATGAACTATCTTCCCTATTGGACTTTAAATTGATAAATGTTTAACTCTAATAAATTACATAATACAGACAATAATTTATACTTTTCATCAATATTGCTAAATGGGAAATACATCAATGGGAAAAGGAGAAGAGAAGAAATTGCAATAGTTAAAAACATTCATTCTATTTCCTAATAACTTTCTCTTTTTTAAAGAATCTTAGTTGTAGATTATTTTAGACATTAGACCTAAATCTCAAACAGAACATGTCTTTCCTATTTAGAATACAATTTAAATAAGACCTGAAAAGTAAAGATATCGATAAAGCTATTATTAACTTTTGGATTTAATACAATTGAACTAAATTGAGGCAAGAAAATCAGTACCAGAAAGAAAAAAAAGAAAGAAAGAGAGAGAGAGAGAGTGAAAGATTTTTCTGATTGATTTACTAACGTATTCAACAAACAGTATGATTTATTCACAATTTTTACAGTTGTTCAAAGTAAAGATATCTACAAATGATTAATTAATTATTCTTAATTACAACTATATAGAGGCAATTAATATCTTCAGATTATTGTAATTAACTTTATAACTATAAAAGAAAATAATAATTTGGTGTTAACCTAAAATACATCTATTTTCAATTTCAATTTATCATTTTGGGCTACAGAGCTAAAAGAAAATCTTTTATCTATCTGTCTGTTCGATTCAATTTCCATGTCTTTCATACTCTCTCCTATCCTCTCTTTCTTTATCTCAGTAGCTTTCTCATTTTTACTTGTTTTATATCTTCACATAGTGAAAATAAAACATGCTAAGGGTTTGATATATAACTTAAATTGTCAATTGATTTATATAGAAAATATAGTCTTTTTCTTTAAAAAGAGAATAGAATCTCTATTGTTGTAATATAAAAAAGAAGGGGAAAGACTAACAGACAGTGTACAAAATGAAAAAGAAACGTGCTATTAGTAGTCCATTTGGTCCCCGAAAAATCTCAAACAGTACTTTTTTTCGTGCCTCGCCGACGAATCTGGGCGGAAATGATAATTCCTGCGTTTACTTGCTGCATATATGATAAACGTAATCGAATTGTTTACCGCCAGAGCAAACTTTATGTGCAGTTTCTTTTTTTTTTGCAGCTGTTGGTTCTTAGCTTGAATATAAAAACAGATGTTACTGTTGACCTTATAGGCGAAATTTTTGTGTCTAGTGCTATAAATTGCCAGAAATTGGAGTGACTTGTAAGATTTCACTCTTTCGCCTAATTGAGCTGTACTTTTTTTTCTTAATAGATCGATTAACGTTTGTTTGCAGCCTTGATTATTTGATGGAAATTTTAGAAGGGTTGTGGAGTTTTTTATGTCTCTTTAAACTTTTCCTCAACTTTCGTTACCATATCTAATTCTTTTTCCGAAAAAAGTCAAAATTAGTAATTTAGACTTTATTAAAAATAATTAATTTATTTATTTTTTCACCCAATCATATTATCAATCACACTTTAAACTGTCCTCTTTCTCTATCTTCTAATTCTCACTCTCTCTGTCTCTGTCTCCCTCTCTATCTCTCTCTTTTTATTTTCTTTCCTTCTTTCTTTCTCTCTCTCCTCTCGCTCCCTCACTTACTCACTCACTCACTCACTCACTCAGTCTATCTCTATCCCTCCCCTCTTCTCTTTTTCTTCTTCTATTCACTTTCAGATTATGTTTACTTTGATATTATTAGCGATAGAGAAATTTAGAACGTTCTTTTCTTCATCTTCCTCTAGTACCTTACGGCAATTTCAACTTTAACATCTCCTTTACGTGATACAACCACGAACAGGATAATACGCTAATATTTATGTAAGAAATAGATTATTATTTTTTTTCCATAAAAATTGATGA